CATGGCTGACCCTGTGCAGGAAGTGACAGGAAGGAGGGTCGGAGTACCCCGCACAGCACCACCTGCCCGTGGGGCGGCCTTGGGACAGAAGGCTTCCTTCTCACTTGACACATCTTTAGTGAGAGCCCGCTGTCTGCCAGGCACTGTGCCAGACTCTCCCTCTAGAGCAGGCAACCAAAAGCTAGATCCCTCCTTTCTGGAGTTCAGGTCTTTTTTTTTTTTTCCAAGATTTATTTATTTATACATACATACATACATACATACATACATACATACATACATACAAGCACTGGGTACAGTCAGAAGCGCGGGAGGGTGAGAGAATTCACCAGAGTCAGAGTGGGGAGCAGAGCAGGCAGAAGGACCGAAGTGCACTGCTGAGGGGAGCAGCGGGCGGCAGGAGAGGTCTGCGCGCCTTGTGGGACCCTCCTCGGTGGCCGGGGAGCAGCCGGGGATCGAACCGGCGCTGCAGAGGCTGTGGGCAGCCTGGAGTTCAGGTCTTAAAGGGGAGGCAGCGAAACCTGAAAACAAGTGAGAGCATTAGAGCGTGGAGCATTCTCTGCAACAAAGGTGGAGGTATGAGTGAGAAAAATGCAAAGGTGTGGCATGGAAGAGGAGCAATTGTTAAGGAGCAGGATTTCCTATCACACCTCCCCCCTCGGCTTCACAGCCCAGGCCTGCCCACTGCCCTCAAGTAGCAGCCTCTTTCTCTCCGCAGGAGCCAGTGTTTCTCATTGCTGATCAGTGGGTAACACCTGGTGCCAATTCACCCCCCTCCCCTCCCAGATCCCTTCATCCCTGGGAACCCCGTGGGCATTCACCTGTTCATCTAAGGGGCTGTCTTCTCTCAGCGTGTTGTTTCTCTGATATTGGCTCCAAATCCAGCCTCCTCATTGATAGGGAAAGAGGAAACGGTTCCGCTGCCAACTCACACACCCCTCGCAGCCCTAGCCCACCCCACCCTCCTCCCTCTTCCCCTCTCCCCTTCAGATCCCAGGGCACTTCTGCCCAGATGGCACATGTAAGAAGTTGTGGATAAAAAGAAGGGACATCCAAGATCCATAACCACCCCCCTCGGTTTTTCACTTGCTGCCTTTTTTATGGTTATGATGTTTGCTGACCTTAATATTTGTTGGCTTAGGGCCTCCCCTGGTGGCGCAGGCGGTTGAGCGCCTCACTGTGAAGATGTCCGCAGCCTCTGCAGCTCCTGATCGATCCCTGCCAGCCAGTGAGGGTCCCACATGGCGCGGCAGACCTCTCCTGTCTCGCCCGCTGCTCCCCTCAGCAGTGTGTTTCATCAGCCTGCCTGTTCTGTTCCCCACTCTGTCTCTGGTGAATCTTCTCGCCCACCTGCGCATCTGGCCTGTACCCCGGTTCTTGTATAAAATAAATAAATCTTTAAAAAAAAATTGTTGGCTTAGTTTCTTCTTTTGTCGAAACTCCTCATGCCCCTGATCATCTCTCACTCATTCATTCAACAAACCTTTAAGTACCTGTGGCAGACCTGTGGCCCATGTTGAGGACAGATCAATGAACAAGACAGAGAAAGACTTTTAGGGCGCATAAGACATTTAGGAGCTACAGATGATAAAGAAGTATATTAGATGCGACTAGAGCTGTGGAGGAAAAGGATGCAGGGAGGAAGGATGCAGCGGGGTCTGCGAAAAGTTTGAAGGGGACCTAACCCTACTCAAAGCTTGCTGTGGACAGTGAGGTGGGAGAGTACTAGCATTGGCACCGCCTGACTTCTCGAGACTGCTGCTCTGTCAAGGAGCTCCCCCACCAGCCTCCAGAGTCCCTGAAGATTCCAGCACCAAGTACAGAAGAACACATGCAGCAGGGGCCTCTCAGTTCCTGCTGGACAGATTTTTTTTTTTTTTTTTTTGTGGGACCCTTGCCGGTGGCCGGGAATCGAACTGGTGCTGCAGAGATTGCAGGCAGCCTCACAACCCAGCGCTCAACCGCCGCACTACCAGGGGAGGCCCTGGACAGATTTTTTAAAAAAGATTTATTTATTTATGCATACAAGAACTGGGGTACAGGCCCGAGGTGGGGGAGGGGTGAGAGGATTCACCAGAGACAGAGTGGGGAACAGAACAGGCAGATTGACTGAAATACACTGCTGAGGGGAGCAGCAGGCGAGTCAGGGAGAGGTCTGCTGTGCCATGTGGGTAGCTCCTTGGCTGGGGATCGAACTCGTACTGCAGAGGCTGCGGATAGCTTCATAGGTTGAATCTTAACCCTTGCACCACAGGGAGGCCCCTGCTGGACAGATGTTTGCTGGACTGAGCTGTCCCTCCCCATGAGGAAGCCGCACTGAGGCTCCTGGGAAGTGTGCGGAGAAGAAGGAAGTGTTTGGACCTCCCTGGTAGTGCAGGCGTTAAATAAAGACAGTGCTATTGGGCTATCCACAGCCACTGCAGCACGAGTTGGCCGCACAGGGAGCTGACCCACATGGCACAGCAGACCTCTTCTGTCTCATGGGCCCGCTGCTCCCCTCAGCAGTGTATTTCAGTACGTGTGCCTGTTCTGCTCCCCACTCTCTCTGTTGGGTCCTCTCACCCACTGCACCTCTGGATTACACCCCAGATCTTGTATGCATAAATAAATAAATATTAAAAAAGAAGAAGAAGGAGGAGGAAGTGGGATGGAATAGATGAAGGGGATTCCCCCCAGGCTTCCAACTGACCACATCCTGAGGGTTTGCACCTGGCAAGTCTAGCTGCCGCCACCAGAGGGCAGTACCACCCCACACACTTCATGCCAGCTCCCTCATCCCAGCTCATGCAGGGTCAGCCCCCCACAAAGAAGGCAGAGTAAGGATGGTGACTCCATTTTACAGATGGGAAATCCAAGGCTCAGACCCCCAGTCGCTCTGCTAGTATGGCCTGGCTAATGGATGTCTGCCACGACCCAACATGTCCAGGAGACCCGTGGGCACCTCTTTAGTGTGTCCTTCCAAATTGTGCCCCTCCCACCCGCTTCTGTTCAGACCCTAGAGTCAGTAAAGCAGGGGCCCAGCCCCCTGCCCTCCCTAGAAATGCACATCCTCTGACCCCTGCCAGACCAAAGAGTGCAGGAGGGCACTGGAGACGTCCCAGGCTATGATGCCAGGCACACTCTCCCCAGAGCTGGGCATAGCCACTCTGCTCCCGGACTTGGGCAGCACTCAGGCCGCAGTCATGGCCTAACCTGGAAAAAGTCCCCTGGGGGAGGACAGCCCACAGAAAGAGCCTCAGGGACGTGGGGGGGGGTTAAAAGTGAAAGTATGCAGTAAAGCATTTAACGCCTGCGGGTGGGGGGGGTGTGCACGCAGCAAATGGTAACCACTGCTATGCTTGACAGTAAGACTGAGAATACTAGCCTGCCTGGGCAGATAACTTGAACTTTGGCCTCAAAAGTGAAGTAAGGCCTCCCTGGTGGCCCAGGTAAATCTCAGCGCTATCACACTATGCAGTCTGAGTTCAATCCCCAATCCCCGCCCAGGGAGCTACCCACATGGCACAGCAGTCCTCTCCTGGCTCACCGGCTGCTCCCCTCAGCAGTGTATTTCAGTACATCTGCCTGTTCTGCTCCGCACTCTGGTGAATCTTCTCTGGTGAATCTTCTTACCCTCACACCTCTGGCCTGTACCCCAGTTCTTGTATGCATAAATAAATAAATCTTTAAAAAGTAATAATAAAAGCAGTTTCAGGTTGATCAGCTACTAAGAAAGAAATGTTGACAGTGGTGGGTAGCAGAGACATTCTTCTGGGTGGAGAGGCCTTGGGTGTGGCTGCTCCATCAAGCCTGCCTGACATTGAAGCTTGCATCCCTGTCCCCCTACTGGTCACTTACTCAGTCACCTTCTTTGCTGGAAACCCAAACAGTTCTCCTGCAGCCTCCCCCACCAAGTCCACTAAAAAGGAAGAGGTCAGTCCCTGAGACTCATTCCCAGGCTTGCCAGACATGACTGGGGTCCTACCCCATGGCCCCTGCCTTCCTTTCATTCAAAACCCTTGTGTTTGTCAAGGGGGCAATGTGTGCTGCTAAACTATTGTGAACTTCCCAGCATCCCTTGCAGCAAGGGATGGGATGGTCATGTGGTTGTTGCCAACCAAGGTCCAGATATGACCCTGTGGTGGATGGCCCTTCTGGAAAACAAAAAGGTAGAGCCCTTCTGGAAAAAAGCCTTTGCCCTTTCCCAATCTTCCTGCCTAGAATCACTTTCTCACGTCGTCTTCACCCTGAGTAGGCAAAGCAGGCATTACCCCATTTCACACAGGAGCACACTGAGGTTCAGAGAAGTAAACAGGTTTTCTCATAGTTGCAGGTTCAGACAGATCGTCTGGGCAAACTGGAGAAGTGGCTAACTCCCCAACACTGACTTGCCCTTTTAAAGTTAAATTATTTTTCAGTTACCATTGTAAATTTGCAGGGATTTTCCCCCCCTTAATTAAGGCAACATTGAATTATAACACTATATGTATGAGTTTCAAGTATACAGCTTCGCAACTTGATAACTGTAATGTAGCGCATCACAGCTGCCACCGAAGGTCGACTACCCTCCACCACCAATCATCTGAACCCTCTACCTGTCCCCCACCCTTACCCTTTTCCCTCCCCTCTGGTAACCACCATTCTGTTGTCAAAATCTAAGGGTTTTTATTTTGTTTGTTTACTCTTTCTTTATCTTGCCTATGAGTAAAATCAGGAAATATGTAGTTTGTAGCCCGCTCTTTTGCTTAAAATGATGACGTAAAGAATTTTTTTTATTAAAGAAGTCTAACAGGGGGCCTCCCTGGTGGTGCAAGGGGTTAAGCACCGCTCCATGAAGCAATCCGCAGCCTCTGCAGCATGAGTTCAATCCCCGGCCGGCCAGAGAGAAACCCACATGGCAAAGCAGACCTCTCCTGTCTCACCCGCTGCTCCCCATGTTGTAGAGCAACCACGATACAAAACGGGGTGCCTGACTGTGGGTCCTCACCCGCGCCCTTAAAAGGACTTATCAATGCTCTACTGCAGGCACACGCGAAAGGTTAATAAACGGTTTATTCACAAGGGAAGGGGAAATGAGGAAATGTACAGCTCAGGGAGAAAAGTGGGAGACAAAGTTTTAAATGAATCCTACCCGATCCGCCGATCAGGAATCCCAAATGGCGCTCTGAGTGCTGGCTGCAAGCCAGGAGCCGTGAAGCCAGGAGGAGAGCGACAGCGAGATCCCTAAGGCCCATGTGTTTGGTTTTTATACCCAACCTGGCTGCTTAACTCCACCCTCAGGTCCCAGCCACCTTCCCTTTGGTGGTGATGGGATTTGTCTTTCCCAATGTCCTGATGGCTTTGGTCTGGAGTGGGGGTGGAGTCCACAAAGCCTGTATGGGATTAACTCAGGACATCATTTCTCCCTAACACCCTCAGCAGTGTATTTCAGTCAGTCTGCCTGTCTGTTCCCAACTCTGTCTCTGGTGAATCCTCTCTCACACACACACATTCCCCCAACTCGCATCTCTGGCCTGTACCCCAGCTCTTGTAAGCATAAATAAATAAATCTTTAAAAAAAAAAAAAAGTCTAACAGATTAAAAAACAAAAAATGACTGATTTGCATTATTTCCCTTTTTGACCAGGCTGCCAGGAAGCTCAGAATATAACATAGCATTCAGTCATGGGCACTATTAAATAATAACATGGGTATTTTGCTGCCCCTTCCTTTCTTTTGTCCTCATTGCCTATTATGAGGCTTGAGGAAGCAATTCTTTCTTATAAGGTGTCTCAAATCTTCCTTTGGGAAGGTGGAGGGAAGAGTGTGCCAGGTTATCTTTCACTGATCTTTCCAGATCTCTCCATTTTGCTCTGGGCAGTGGAGGTCACCATGAATGGGCTACATGGACGACATTCTGGTTTGCTTGGGTTTGGCCAACAGCTCCCTGGTGGAGAGAGGGGACTGCCCTTGTCAGGAGCCTCATCCACACGGTCTTGTCCCCCAAAAGCACTCCACCCCTTCCCACCAGAGGCCCAGGGACCTGTCTTCTCCCTTGCTGACTCCTACACCCGCCCACACCTTTGTAAGTTGTCCCCTTACCAAATTCTCGAATCATTCAGTTGAGTGTTTCCTGCCAGTGCCCTATTATGGACTGAATGTCCCCCAAATTCATGTGCTGAAGTCCTATCCCCCAATATTATGGTATTTGGAGGCTAGGGCTTTGCAAGGTAATTCGGTTCAGAGGTGGCCATGAAGGTGGGACCACATGACGGAATTAGGGACCTCAGCAGGAGAGCGCTCTCTCCAGCAATAAGGTGTGGGAAGACCACAAGAGCGCACACGAGAAGCACCTACCCACCAGCCCAGGAGTGGGAGCTCACCAGGCCAGAATCTGCTGGCAGCTTGATCTTGGACTTCCAGCCTCCAAAACTGAGCAATGAATGCCTATTGTTTAAGCCCCCAGTCTATGGTATTTTCTTATAGCAGCCAGAGCCGAGACATGCCCTGAACAGAATGTATTGTTAAAAGACCTCTGATGTCTGAAAAGCCCATCCTGTCCCCTCCCTTCTCCCAGGTCCCTCATCCTGACCTCCAGACAGCGATGCCCTCGTGGGCTCCCCGTCCTGCCCCCAGCACCACGTCCATCCCAGTGCTGCTGATCCCGGAGAACCAGGCTGTGGTCTCCCTCCACTGCCCCAGCCCCAACGAAGTGCAGAAGGTGGGCCCAGGCTGGTGAGCTGGCACAGGTGCCACAGGCAAACCAGGCTGGGGAGGTGTGCTGTAACTAGTCCGCCCCTGAAAGAATTTGGGGACACATGTGGGTGGATCATTATATAAACTGACAGTTGCACCAATGTGTTGGGTGAAATGACAGCCATGCACAGGGCATTATGGGGCAGAGATGAAGGAGCACAGGCCCAGCCTGGCTGTGGGGTCGTGTGGGGCGTGGTGGTGGTGGTGGCACAGAGGACGTGTTCCTGCAGAGGTCAGAGCCAGATCCCAATGGGTGAGCAGGTGAAGGCATCCAGTCGAGAGGGCCTGGACTCCAGGAGCACAAAGCCCAAGAGAAACCCCACCCCCTAACGTGCCTCGAGGTGGCCGGGAGCAGGGCAAGGAGGCTGCCTGCTGAAGTAAAGACCCATGCAACTAAGTGCCCTGGTGCCGAAGGGGGTGCTCAGCCCCAGTCATCACCTCACCCCTCCAGCTCCTACGCTTCCAAGTTGGAGCCCTGCAAGTGCGCACTGGACTGTCAGCTCAGCTTCTCAAATGCTCCTTTCTCTTGGACTCCCCTCTCCAAGAGTCTTCCCCACGTACCAGGTGGGCATCAGGCACCTCATGTCTCCCCATCCACCCCATCTCAACAGCCTCCTTTGGATCTGTGTGTTATTTTTATTTTCTTTGCTTTGGTCTATACAAAAAACCAATAACCAAAAACATAAAGCAGTAATAATAAAACTCTCCGCTGGGACCTCCCCCAGCCCCCACCCTCAAAGCAGGAGGCAGTGGGGGGAGTTTGAAACAGGAAGAAGACAGAGCCCCTCACCGCACACCAGAGGGGTCAGCCAAGAGCACTTCTCAGGGGTCAGCTAGGTGGCAGGGGTGCGGGGGAGCTGTTCCCAGAGCTCCCCTGGAGGGGTCAAAGCCAGTGACTCATCGCCCCGGAGAGAAGCGGGTAGGGTCCTGGAGCGGGGACTGGCTCTCGGTGTCTCCACCCCGTCTCCGGGAAGGTCCCTGAACTTTTCAAGAGAAGTTCTGGACTTCAGGGGTTTGGTCTTAAACCTGGGTCTCAGAAACCCCGGGGGCGCAGGACAGTTGTTCAGGTGGAGTTCAGTGAGAACGTCAGACGAAGAGAAGGAACCAAACCCTCGTGGGGACCCGGCACCCCGGATGATTAGGGGGTTGGTGTGGGTGGCGAAGGGTCTAGAGGTGAGGGGTGTGTATCTTTAGACCCACAGTCCAGAACAGAAAAGCAGGGGCAGGTCGCCATCCCAAGAAACCCCGAGGAAGACCCCTGCAGGCGCAGGGTTCAGCAGGAAGTCTCGGCCCTGCACCCCTGGCTCAGGCACTTTCTGACTCACCCCACGGCCTACATGAGAGCCTCTCAGAAGAAGGGTGCACCTAGGGGGGAAGACACAGGGGGCAGGGCACCCCTGAGTCCCCTGGGTGCTGCTCTGTTCCACTACCCACAGGAAGGGCAGGACCCGCCCAGCCCCCAGCCCAGGTCACAGGGTCAGGCAGGCCGAGGCAAGCCTGCCTTGAGGGAGCCCAACAGCAAAAGGTCCCACACTTGCTCCCCCCAAAAAGGAGGCAAGGTTTCAGTGGAGACATGAGAGGGCCTCTGCGAGAAGGAGGTTCTGGGGAAGGGAAAGCGTGTGTCTCAGCAGCCAGCAGGCCTGAGGAGGCCACCAAGCGGGGAGGGCGTGTGCTGCTCAGCCAGCTAGGCCAGCATGTGGTCCGCGGCGGCGAAGGGGGGCCTGAGCCCGTCGCTGTAGGTGTCAATGGGGTAGTCCCCGTCCATGTCCATGTGCATCTCCATGGGGTCCAGGGGCACGTCGCTTGAGTACATGGGGCGGTAGGTGGCATCCATGTCTGGGGAGCAGAAGGTGGTCTGTCCAGGGTCTGCAGACCACTCCGGGACAGCCCTCAGCCACCTCCACTGCCTACCTCCGGTGGCCCCATCCCCTTCCCCGAGCTCTCACAGAAAGGGCATGGAGGAGTACATGCGGCTGCTCCGGGGGGCTGCCATGGCCCATGGGCGCTGGGGACACGCTCACACCCCACGCCCCTTTCCACCCCCCAGTTCCCAACCTGCTCTCTGGGGATCCTGAGGATCGCTGCACACACTTACCATCCGCATAGGGCTCGTTGATGGGGATCATGCTCTGGGCCTAAGGAAGGAGGCAGAGAGAAGCGTTGTAGGTGTGGACTCTGGGCTTGGGGGGTAGTAGAGACACTTCTAGAAAGGAGGCCAGGAGAAAAGTGGAGACCTCTTGAAGGCACAGAGGGAGGAATGCCGCAAAATGGGGTTTTAAAGCGCCCTGAGAATCTCCAGTCCTCAGGCACCTCCCCAGGATGGAGGGTCCCACACCAAGCTTGGGGCATCCACAGAACTGAGCATCTCAGGGCAGGAATGGAGGGGAGAGGCCTCAAGAGAGGCTCAGATCTGCCCCTCTTCACCCCCAGGATCAGGGCGGCTGCTAGCCCATGCAGCTTTTTTTTTTTTTTTTTTTTATTTATGATTTATTTATTTGTTTGTTTGTTTGTTTTGTTTATACATGCACTGGGTACAGTCAGAAGCGCGGGAGGGTGAGAGAATTCACCAGAGCCAGAACAGGGAGCAGAGCAGGCAGAAGGACCAAAGTACACTGCTGAGGGGAGCAGCGGGCGGCAGGAGAGGTCTGCGCGCCATGTGGGACCCTCCTCTGGTGGCCGGGGAGCAGCCGGGGGTCGAACCGGCACCACAGAGGCTGCGGGCAGCTTTGCAACCCAGCGCTCAACTGCTGCGCCACCGGGGAGGCCCCCATGCAGCTTCTTGTGTGTGTTAGAAAAGGCGCACCTGCCTCAAGTCCTTTGTATTAGTTTGGATAAAATAAAATTGCCATTTCGATAGGTAGATAGTTCAAGCTACTACTTCAGCAGAGAACTGTCACAAGTGCTCCGATAATAAAATAAAGATCTAGGGCCTCATTGGTGGCCTAGGGGTTAAGTCTCAGTGCTGTCACCACAATGGCCTGAGTTCGATCCCTAGGCAGGGAGCTGACCCACATGGCACAGCAGACCTCTCCTGTCTCACCCGCTGCTCCCTCAGCAGTGTATTTCAGTCAATCTGCCTGTTCTGCTCCCCACTCTGTCTCTGGTGAATCCTCTCAGCTCCCACTCCTCTGGCCTGCACCCCACCCAGTTCTTCTACACAAAAATAAATAAATGAAATACCTTTAAAGAAAAAAACTACAAAAAAAAATCCTTTATAACATAAAATAAAGATCTATGATGTTGACAGCATGGTAGAAGCATCCCTGAAGCACTATCCTTGCGCAGTATGCAACTTGCACACCCGCACCGTGCAGCCCAGCCCGGGATACTCACAGCCTCCCAGGCAGCAGGGTCATGCTTGAAGAGGGAGTTGGTGAGCTCCACAGACACACGCTTTCGGTAATCTGGGTTCTTGTCCTCAGAGACACGGAACAAGACGGCAGCAGCGTAGGTGGCTGAGCAGAGAACAAAGGCAAGGTCAAGTCAGGCGCCTGCCTCCTCCCTGGATGGGGGAAGAGGGCCCAGCCTCCTCCTACTCCCCGCGCCACAGCACAGCCCCTCACCGGTGCCCTCGTTGTGGGAGTGCAGCAGCTCCATGAGTGGGGCCGAGGCCCCCTCGGCGTCAATGGCGTCGGCGGCCTCCTTGTCCTGGGCCAGCTCGCACAGCACTCCGGCTGCCACACGCTGGATGTTCTCCACAGATGAGTACAGGAGCTGGGGGCAGGGGTGGGCGGTGGTGGAGGTGAGTATAAGGGGGGGCGGGCAACACACCTCACGGAACTGCCCACCTCTCCCTCCCTTTACTGAAGTTAACCCAGGCTCAGAATAGAAAATGCACAGAGTCTAAGAAAAGCTTAAATAGAAGGAAAAGATAACCAGCACAATACCCCACCACACCCAGCCTCTGTGAACACACTGGCACGTTTCCACTGGATCTTTATTATCCCAGTTCAAATTACAGGCAAATTTCTTGATTCCTGGTTTTTTCACCTGACGTTGTAGCATAAGGCATTTTCCTATATTATTTTTTTTTAAGATTTATTTGTTTTTATGCACAGAAGAGCTGGGGTGCAGGCCAGAGAGGCAGGAGGTGAGAGGATTCAGCAGAGACAGAGTGGGGAGCAGAACAGGCAGATCTGCTGAAATACAGATCTGCTGAAGGGAGCAGTAGGCGAGACAGGAGAGGTCTGCTGCGCCATGTGGGTAGCTCCCTGGCAGGGGATTGGGCTCAGGCCGTGGCGGTGATAGTGCTGAGACTTAACCCCTAGGACAACAGGGTGGCCCCATTTTCTATATTATTAAAAAAAGAAAAAGAAAAACTTTTCCTAAAAAATTTTTGAGTTCATATTGATATTTAAGAGAAAAAGAGAATGTTTAAAAGCAAAACAACGGGGCCTCCCTGGTGGCGCAAGGGGCTAAGTCTCAGCACTATGAAGCTACCTGCAGCCACTGCAGCACAAATTCGAACCCCAGCCAGGGAGCTGACCCACATGGCATAGCAGACCTCTCCTGACTCGCCCGTTGCTCCCCTCAGCAGTGTATTTCGGTCTGTCTGCCTGTTCTGCTCCCCACTCTGTCTCTGGTGAATCATCTCACTCCCCCCCATACCCCCTCTGGCCTAGACCCTAGTTCTTCTATGCATAAATAAAATTTAAAAAGGTTGGGGCCTTATCCCTTGCCTTTGAGCTTGGAAAGCCAACCCCACATAGGCATTGTGAAGTGGTCGCCTCTGATGTGGGCATCTTCTCTGAACCCCTCTAAATACCTCTTGATACCTGACTACATCCCCTGACACCCGGCTGCCCACCTCCCCTTTCAGCGATGGGGATAAGCAGGGGCGGCGGGTCCTGTCAGGCCACCTATCCCAGACTCACCTGCACGAACAGGGGGATGGTGTTGAGCCGGAAGATCTCCATGCGGTTCATGGGATCCCGCGCGAGGATGTGCAGGGCCCCGGTGCAGCCCTCCACAATCTCCTCCATTCTCACACCGTCCTGCACGAGGGGGGCAACGGAGCGCGATGAAAGGGCGCCCTTGGAGACGGCCACACTCCCCACCCCCAAGAAATTCTTACAAATCCCCACTGGTCCTGGGAGTTGGCTTCCATTGCAACTCACCTCCCCGCATAAACACTCACGCACATACATTCCCATGCACACCCTGCCCCCTGTGTTCACAGCATCACCAGGTCACTCACCGTGTAGGGCTGCTGCGTGCCTGCAGCCACGTGACGCTGGGCATCCTGGTGGGCCTTGACCAGCAGCTGGACGAGGCGGGGAATGACCGCTGCCTCCTGCAGTGGGGCATGGTTGGCTGGGCACAGGGCCAGGTTCCTAATCAGGCCGATGGTTGCCTGGCAAAACAAGGGACATGGTCAGGGGCATTTCTTGGGCATTTGCAGGATCCCAATCTCCCAGCATCATCTCTTCCTTCACCTGTCATCTCGCTTGCTCTAGGCCAGACATGCTGCAAGAGCTGCAGAAACGAGACCACCCTAGCCATGTCCCTTAGTCCACTGGGTCCTCCTGTCTAACAGCTCCTGCTAAAAGGACACCTCCTTCCAGAACATTCCACCAACCAACCTCCCCCCACCTCTGACTTGCAGATGGGATCAAGTTAAAGGTGGGGGTATATGGGGTATCTCACACTGCCCTTTTTTTCTCATTTTTTTTAAATTTTTTAAAAATATTTTTAAAATATTTATTTATTTTATACAAGAACTGGGGTACAGGCCAGATGTGCTGGCGGATGAGAGGATTCACCAGAGACAAAGCGGGGAACAGAACAGGCAGACTGACGAAATACACTGCTGAGGGGAGCAGCGGGAGTGACAGGAGAGGTCTGCCGCACCATATGGGACCCTCCCCAGCCGGCCGGGATCGAACCAGTGCTGCAGAGGCTGCGGACAGCTTCACAGCGCGGCGCTCAACCGCCTGCGCCAGCAGGGGATGCCCTCACTTAGACTCATTCTTATCTATACTGTTAAATTGCCTAGTGGGGCCTCCCTGGTGGCGCAAGGAGTTGAGACGAAACCTATGAAGCTGTCCACAGCCACTGAGGCACGAGTTCATCCCCAGCCAGGGAGCCACCTACATGGCACAGCAGACCTCTCCTGACTCACCCGCTGCTCCCCTCAGCAGTATATTTCAGCCACTCTGCCTGTTCTGGTCCCCACTCTGTCTCTGGTGAATCCTCTCACCCCCGCATCTTTGGCCTGTACCCCCATTCTTGTATGTATAAATAAATCTTTAAAAAAATTGCCTAGTATTTAGCCAATGCCAGCAGCCTCTCCCCGGCAGCCTCCTGAGTAGAAGTCTGCATCGCTTCATACTCGGCTCCCTATGGCAGTCACTAAGGGGCCCCACCATCCTCTCACGCTTGTCTTGCAATGTCCCTCCCAGGGCTCAGCAGGCTGCACAACCCATGCACACCTGCCAGCCTCCCAGCATCAGATGGGGCCAAATGACCAAGTTCCGGGGCATCAGCTGAAGCAACAGCTTCATCCTTCCTCCCTCTCAACATTTCCGGGACTGGAAGGTACCCATGGGGCTGGCACAACCCAACCATGCATGCCAGACACATCAGGAGTGTGCCCCTGGGCCAGCGGCCTCCTCGGGACTTGGCAGAAACACCAACTCCCTGGCCCACCCCAGGCCACCACCAGAGCCTGCGACAGAAAGAGGCCGCTCGGATGGCCGTGTGGAGAAGCACTGTCTGCTTTCAGGAGGCCCGGGCCACGGACCACGTTCATGGGTCTGAGAGCAGCGATGCCATCCGAGGAGCGAGGAATAAACTTCATTCTTACTGGAGTCGCTGCATTTCAGAGCCCTTTTCCCAGCAGCGTGGCCTGCACTTAATCCTGGGCCCGGGGTACGCGGGTACCTTGACCAGCGGCCACTGGTTGGGCTGGTTAAGCAGCTTGACGATGGCCGGGATGCCGTAGTTGAGGCGCACGGAGTTCTGGGCCATCTCGGCCTCGGGGTGGCGGCTGGTAAGGTGGCGCAGGGCGCAGACAGCGGGCTCGGTGATGTCGTCCTTGTCACCTGCGCGCAGGATGGCGTGGATGAGCGCCTCCACGCCACTGTTCTGCGTCACCAGCGTCTTGTTCTTGCTATTGTTGCATGTCAGGTTGGACAGCGTGCCCGTGGCACAGGTGAGGACGTTGACATCGTCCACACTCAGCTGGTTCACCAGAATCTTCAGCACACTCTCCAGGCCCTCCTGGGGAGGGGAGAGAGGGGACGGTGAGGGAGACTCCCCACCCTCAGAAGTCTTCCCAGGTATGTCTGCAGAGAGCAGGAAGGCCCAGCGGGTCCCAAGCCCACCCAGCTGATATGTAGTCGACCCTGCCTGCTTGTGCCTGACATCTTCAACCCTGTGATCCTGCCAACACCCCGTGATCCTGCCGACACCCCACAAAAGGGTAGAACTATGCCCTGGAGCAACTAAGGCTCAGAGATGCTGAAAGGTTTGCCCACAGACCCACAGCTAGATCTGAATCCCAGCCTGTCCAAACTCCATCCCTCCTTTCTCCCTACTGTCATCAGACCCAGAGCCCCAGGCCCAAAAATTCAGGACAGGGAGACCTCCAGGCTAGATGGAAATTGTTGAGGAGACCACACACTTCAGTGGCACTGCTGACCCAATTTTACCAGCTGCTCAGCTTTCCAGGCCTCCATTGCAGCCCCCTCAGTGGTCAAAAGCTACTGCAGTAAACATCCTAAACCAGAAGCCTCACTTCTCCCAAGGGGAGCCACATGGGCCTTGTTGTGGAAGAGAAGGACCCCAGGCTAGGGGGACAGATAGTCTTGGGTTCAAATCCCTGCTCTGCCATTTACTAGCTGGGGCCAAAGGCTATTACTTAACGTCCCGAACCTCTGTTTCTTCATCTAACCAATGGGGTCCCACAGGTATTGAAAGGGGTAAAGGAGCCAATATCCCATAGTGCCTAGCGGAGTCCAGGCAGCCAGTGGCAGGTGCTCAAAAAACAGCCTATTGATGGTGGAGAGCGGAACTCTTGGGATGGCAGTCAGGCTAGAAGGGACAAGGTGACAGGTCCTGAAAGGGCATTTTTCCTTACATTGATTTTAGGCTTGGAGGCCTCCAAATTGTCTCCATGTATAATACTGTTCCCCGCCCAGGGTCTGGTACCACCAGAACCCAGTTTAGAAGCATCAGCTCCCTTCATCCCTTCCCCTTCCTGGACCCCTGATAGGGATTAGAGTCGTAAGCTAAAGAGATGAGCGTCTTCAGCCTCAGCCACTTGGGGAGACACTTAGTGGTGTCAGGCCTCCCACAGCTCCTGACGTCAGACTCCCAGACAGGGGCTGGACACAGTGAGCCAAGAGGATGAGACAAGTGAAGAGGTGGGCCCAGGCCCAAATGCCTCCCTCACCTGTTTGGTGGCCACGTCCGAGAGGTTGCGCAGGGTCCAGAGGCAGTTCTGCACGAGGCGGGGGCTGTTACTTGTGAGGTGTTTGCCCAAGGCCTGCATCCCACCTGCAGCAGGATATGGGAGTCACGTCAGCCATAGGGGAACATGACTGACCACGCCCGGCCATTAGACAGAGCCCCAACCTGGCTCTCCCGGCCAGTGGGCCACCCTCCCAGGCCATGATACTCACCAGCCTCCACAATGGCAGGCTTATTGCTCGGACACACGGACAGCACCTTTAGCACACGGCTGGTGGTCCAGAGCAGCTTCTCATAACTGTAGTTGCGCATGATCTGCACAAGGGCCTGGGGGCCTCCATTGGTCAGTATGATCAGCTGTGGGGAGTGGGGAAGATGAGTGTGAGACAGAATATGACAAGAAACAAGGAAGGGAGGGTGAGCTGACAGAGCTCTCATTCCTGAGCTTCAGCCACTTTTGTAACTATTAAATAAGTCAAAAATTTGAAAAAAAGGTAATGCACAATGCTGGCAAGGATGAGGTGAAACTGCACCAAAAAATATCACCACCGATGGGACTGTAAATAATACAATCCTTTGGGAAAGCAGTCTGGGTAAAAGCCTAAAAACCTTCAGCCCCACCAATGAAAAAAATGTTCCACTCTTTGGGAAAAGCTGTGTGCCCAAGAGATTGATTATGCCATTGTTTTATAAAGGGGGGAAACTGGGAGCCATCTAGATGCCCTCCCTCAGACTAAAGTCAGGGTGTTCCACCTAATGAAAGGTTATTTGCCATTGTAAAGGGTGGGTTTGAGAATAATAGTGAAAAAAAATTTTTGAATATCCTATAGAGAAAAGATGTAAAGTTGTACATTTGCTATGACTACTATGTACAAATATACCCACAGAACAGCAGTGGAGGAAAACATTAAGGTAACAGTGGATGCAGAGGATATTTTTCCTTTTCTTTACCCTCAAAACATTCATTTATATGATGAAATATGTTTATCTGCATATACATATACATACTTAACCTAAAAAGAATTAAGGAGGTAGTTTGCTGGATGGAGGTGATGTAGTGGGAGGTTATGGGTCTTGGTTAGGGCAGGGAGGGCCTACTTTGCTCTCCTGGTTGCCATAGGCCAGGAGCTGCAGGCAGTCAGTGGTAATGGCCAGGAACTTGGGGTTGTTCTTGTTGAGCAGAGGCACCATCTTCTGCAGCCCATCTGCCAGGCGCACGGCCATCTTGGCGCCCTCCTGGTAGAGCAGTAGGTTGTGCAGAGTGGTGATGGCATAGAACAGGACCGACTCCACAGGAGAGCTGGAATGGCAGGCAGAGGGCTAGTATGAGTTGGATTCCAGAGCCTCACATAAACTTGGGCCACCTCACCCAGGAAGCCTTCCCTGATGTCCCTATGCTAAATACCCTTAGCTAAATTCTCAAGGTTCCTTGTGCTAACCCCACTGTTATGCATGGAGTACATGATGCCTCTCCTGACTGGGACCATGTCTCCTCCCGTTTCTGGGCTCCCAGTCCAGTGCTGAGTGCATAGCAGGTCTTTCCCACACCTGTCTCTTCTGAGTAACTCCCATGTGGAAGGCCTCATTCTAGAGAGGCCCTACAAGGGTTCAAGGAGACTAATATCAATACCTATATCTCCTCCACCTTGGGGAACTCACAGCCTGATATGGTGATGAGGATGGAGACCCATCAACATTCTAAGACTGGGAAAGATAAAGGTGGCAAAGGACTTTGCATATGCTGTTCCCTCTGCTAGGAATACCCTTCCCTTCATCTATACTGACCAAACTCCATTTGTCTGTTAACTCTCTGCCATTATAGTGAGCAGCTTCTCAGAGCTCATCAGACCAATTGCAGACACATCCATACCCTTGCCTGGGAAGATGTCCTGATAACCTGCTCTTTACATGCCTGTCTCCCCCATTAGGATGACAGCAGCTGGGTCCCAGGTCTGGGCATGGTTCTACACATGGCACATAGTAGGTGCTCAGAAATGTTGCATGAAGGTCCAGGGAAGAGCAGGGGAAGCCCAAGTGAGGGGCGTCCCAGCCCCCACAGCGAGCAGGAGTGGGCACCTGAGCATGCGGACAAGGGCAGGGATGCCTCCAGACTTGAAGATGGCGAGCAGCCCCTCGCGGTGGTGGGAGAGGTTGTGCAGGATGCTGGTGGTGCAGCGGGCCGTGTCCAGGTCACTGGTGTTCTGCATGGTACGCACGACAGCCGCCACCAGCTGAGACGAGCCCATCAGGGCCCGTCGAGACGCCTCCTTCTTCGACAGCTGGTTGACAATCATGGCAGCCTTGGTCACTACCACCTGGGGGGCAAGGAGGAGGGGAAGGCGTAAGCAGATGGGCCAGGAGACCCTCCCACAAAGCTCACAGGGGCCCAGACCAGACTCTGCCTGCAGGTGGGGCTCTGAGTCAATGCCTCCTCCACCCCAGGGAGGGCCCTCCTAGGCAGGCACCAGACCTTGCCCCTCCCCACCCAGTTCCCAGCCTGGCCAGGCCCCTCACCGGGTCCTCGTCATTAAGCAACTTGGTGAGCTCAGGCAGGGCCCGTGTGGCCAGCTCAGCATCATCCTGGTAGTTGATGAGGTGGACAATGGCCGACTTGAGCAGCTGGGATGGCTCGGCCAGCCGCTGCAGGTTGGTGGCCTGCCCGTCCACCTGGGTGGTCAGCAGCAGCGAGCAGTCCTCGCCTGTCACGCCAGGACACATGGCCTCCCGCACCCGTTTGGCTCTGGCTGTTGAGGACATCTGGTACTCTAGGTCACCTGTGGACAAATGGACAGGGTCTGAGCTGCAGAGATAGGGTCAGGGACACTGGGGACAGGGCAGGCTGCAGACAGCTCACCTGGACCAAGGCCCTGGCACACCCTCATAGTTCTACCTCTAACCTAGGACCTTGGGAAGGACACCACTGCCTTGGGTCTGTCATCTGTAAAATGGACACCACCTGTTCTGTCCATCAAAGGGAATTCATATGAGACCTGACTAACTGTTGTGAATTGCCCTAAAAAGAAAGGGCTCACATATCATTAGAAAAATGATAGCAATTATTATTATTATTGACAGGAATAGCTAATATTGTTGAGTACATATCACATGCCTGGCAGTATATTAAGTGCTTTTCTTACATTTACTCATTTACTCTTGCAACCTTTCAAGGCAAGTACTATTATTAACTCCATTTTACAGATGGGAAAACTGAGGTTAGAAGTGAGGTTATTAAGAAGCCATGTTCAAATCTGAACTCAGACAACCTGACTCCAGAGCCCAAACCCCGACTCTATGCCCCTCCCTAACAATCAGGTGGGGCCAGATGAGCCAACGTAGGTTTCTTTTCAACCCCGAAATCTCATGATTCTAATTATACCCTCAGGAGGCAACTCTCCCATTATATGGGCCGGCAAACTGAGACTCATACTGCAGATCAGAGGGAAAGCCAGGACTGAGGCTTCAGAAAGCAGGGCGGGTTCTCAGCTCAGACTCCAGGTTCCACCCCCTGGGTGGGCCCAGAGATCCCACAAATAGGTGCCCAAGCTGCCCAGCAGCCCTGCCCTGGCAACTGTCCGATGCCCCTGGGAGAGGAGGCAGAGGTTCCACCCTCCAATTAGCTGAGAAGGCGGAGGCAGCCACATGGCTTCCCCACCTGGATGCTATACTTGTAAGCACCAACGCAAAGCCAGGCCCTGCCAAGCCAAGACTTCCGCCCGTTGCCAGGGAGGAACCCCGGGTGCAGAGGCGGAGCGCTGGAGTGCCCCAGCCTGCTCCTTTCCCAACATTCAGGGCCCTGGAGGCATCTGCAGACACCAGTCCCAGGACCTGGACATGCCTCTGCCCCAGGGAAGCGGACGCCCTGGGCTGGCGGGGCTCCCCACCTTGGGCTGAGAAATGGGTGGGTCACTCTAAGTGCTGGCCTCAACTCCCTGTCCCACCAGGAGCCCTCAGGCTTAAAAGATGTACCTCCCCCAGCATACTGTGGGGCCCCTGGGGACTGGAGTTCTGCCTCCCCATCAAACTTAAGGCTCCCAGAGCAAAGGACTGTGTCTGTACTGCAGTCCCTGGGCCCCTAGAGGGCCACAGCAATGCCTCCTCATCACACTGGAGTTCCTGGAAGGCAAGGACTGTGCCTCCTCCTCCAGGTAGTGGCACCCCAAGGGCAAGGTGTACCCATTCTAGAGGCTCACGAAGGGAAATGTGCCTCTCCCCCTATGGTGGCACCTACAGTGGCTATGTTGCTTCCTCAGGTGGGTTGGATCCCTAAGCGTGTGAGTTACTCCTCCCCTCCCAGGCTGGGTGGGTCTCTAAGAGCAGGAGCTGCACCTCTTTCCTCAGGCTTCAAGCTCCTAACACCGGCCTCCCTCTAGGGCCTGGCCTGGCTTTTGGCTGGTATATCCTGTGGAAAAGTCCCCTGGCCCCAACCTTGGTTCTGGGTGTAAGTCGTGGTCTTCTTGAGCGTATACTGGCGCCCGCAGGCCTCATCCTCCTCCATGACGCCCTTGCTGCAGACCGAGGGCACACAGGTGTTGGCGCCCGAGTGGATGCCCGAGTCGTAGGTGTACGTCTGTTGCCACTCAGTCACCTTAATGGGTTGTTCGATCAGGTTCATCACCTCCATGGTGGCTGCTGGGGACACAGAGGAGCAAACAATCAGCTGGCACCCCACCATCTGGCCCGGCCCCCAGCGTCAACCCATCCCTACTTGCCTTGTACCCTGTGCCCCACCATAGCCCCAAGAGCCCCAGTGAACTGTGTTGGGAAGTGGGGAGCAGAAGGGTCCCCTGGAGCAGTGGAGCCCCAGCGTGTAAGTTCTAGGCTTGCATTTCTGACCTCAGCCCCAGTGGAGTGAACCCCTGGGCAGTAAAGGGTCAGTGACCCCCAACCTGGCCCTGCACTCACCTTGCTGTCCCTGCCAACACTCCCAGAGCAGAAGGCACACGGGGCCTCCTGTAGCTCTGGTGTCCTACATCCCCACCAGCTGGGGATCCCTGGGAAAGGCTGCAGAGGTGAGGCAGCTGCACCAGTATTGGACGGGGAACTGGGTGGGGCCGGGAAGCAGTCAGACAGGTTTCTCTGGGGAGCCTGGGAGTCTGCTGGGAGCAGTTAAAGGTTCCCTGGACTCCCTCAGAGGCTCCAGGATCTCATTTACCGGCAGATGGCGAAGTATCCAAAGTGGCCCCAAAGGCCCAGATCCTAAGACCTTGTCTGGCCCCTTCCCCGGCCACACCCTAGCTCCCAGAATTCTGTGCTCCACCAGCCGGTTCAAATCACAGCTGTTTATTACTGGGCAATTCACCTCCTTGCTGAGCCTCAGTGTCCTCTGCTGTAAAAAGGGGTAACATCATCTCCCTCAAAAGTTGTTGTGAGGAGACCAGATTTATGAAGGACCCAAGAGGTGACTGGCACATAGTAGGTGCTAAGTGCTTGTGGCCATGGCCGAGTAGCAGCACTGCCTCCCCACAGTGGTGCTTGCTCACCTCCTGTCCTCGAGCTGGTCACTGCCCTTCAGGGGACTCTCTCCTCTCTACAGAGATTTAGGGCTCTTGGGCTCAAGAAGAGCCGGGCCCCAGTCTGAATCAGGGAGGTGAGCTCCAACTTGGGTCTGTGGTTCTCTTGACTTGGCAGTTGACTCCCAGAGCGAGGCGCCAGGGAGGACAAGGAAGCTGAGATTCAGTGGGGACCTGCCCTTCCTCCAAGGCCATCTCCCTCACCAACAGGGTTCAAAGCACATGCTCTGTTCCCCCACTCACAGACATGGAAATTGAGGCCCCCCCCAGGTGAGATGGCACAATAGAGAAAGGGGTCAACTGCCAAGTCAGGGGAACCACAGACCCAAGTTGGAGCTCACCTCCCTGCTTCAGACTGGGGCCCAGCTCTTCTTGAGCCCAAGAGCCCCAAATCTCTGTGGAGAGGGGAGGGCCCCCTGAAGGGCAGTGACCAGCTCAAGGCCAGGAGGTGAGCAAGCACCATTGCAGGGAGGCAGTGCTGCTACTCGGCCATGGCCACAAGCACTGAGCACCTACTATGTGCCAGGCACAGGCATGAGGGACACCAGTGTCTGGGCCCCTGCACATCCTCAGAGAGCAAGCAGGCCCTAGGAGCCAGGGCAGCACCCCACACCTCAAACCCATTGCCCAGCTTTGCTGGGAGACCTGGAGAGGATAAGGGTAGGGTGGCGGGTACAGCCTGGCCCCACCCCAAGAACAAAGATCAAGTCTTCCCAGTGATGGCCCAAGTGTCACCCTCAAGGAGGATGACGAATAACTGGGTCTCAGCTTTCCTGCCTTTTATGGTGACACCCAGCTCCTCCCCTGCCCTCAGCGCACCTGGAACAGGCAGAGGCAGGAGCCAGACCAGCTCCCAGCCGCCTCCTTCCTCTCCTCCCATCACCCTGAGTGAGTCAGAGTTTCAGACTGATAAACAGCAGGGGGCCAGAACACCAGACAGCAGGCTCAGCGCTGCCAGATGTGCCCAGCTGCTTCGCAGGCATCGGCCAAGTGTCACTATTTCAGAACCCCCCCTCCCCACCCACACACTGCCCAGGGTGACTACAATCTCTGGATCTTTTCCCTGCCTCATGGGGTGGGGGGTGGGAAAGAGAAAGAACCTGCCACAGGCCGCCCCAGGCAGGCTGCCCCCATCCGAAGAGGAGGCAGGCCAGAGGGCCCCAGGAGAGACAGCTGCATTAACCTTCTCCATGCCGCTGGGCTGGCTGGCGCTGAGCTGACATATCCAGGCCCAATCCATAAAATTGCCCCCTCCCCAGGGACCACGGGATGGTCCCTCTCGGGCATGACGTCTAAAGGGATCCCCAAGGTCAAGGGTAGCCACAGGAGCAGAGTTTCCCGTAGTGAGGGGCCCCTCACTACACCGCCAGCGGAGGCCTGGGGCCAAGAGAAGCTGCCTGGACAGCTGACCAGAGCCAGACAGAGCAGCTCAGCGGTCAGAGGACACCCTGGCGGGAGGGGGCATCCTAGACAGTTGCCTTTGCTATCAAGGGAATCGCATCTTCCTCCAAGCGACCCTGCAGACCATTTATGGGTCCCGACTTCTAGGTGAGCAAGTGGAGGCTCCACATTGAGATATGGTGGCGCGCTGCTCAAACCCGGGAAGGAGGGATGCCCGGGGATCAAGAAGACAGGGCTGGACATCCTACAGCAGTGAGAGTGACGGGCCGGGGAGGAGAGGCTGGGGAGGCCAAGGCTGCTGGCAGCCGGAGACAGCACATCTAGAAGTCGGCTTCTCGGGAGTCCCAGGTTCAGGTCCCAGCTCTGCCACAAAGAGGCTGGGTGTCTTTGGACAGTTTCCCTCTGGGTGCTTCATGTACAGAGAGGTGGCCCATGTGGTGGCAAAGGAAAGCTGATGTCTAGGATTCTAGGAATAGGAAGTAGGTTTCCCCGGCAGACAAGAGGGGGCTGAAGTGAGCAAGGTCAGACTTGAAAAGCAGCTCAGAGGGGACACACACCAGAACTCATCTTCAGGAAAGGCTCTCGGGGAGATGGCTCCTGCAGTAGGAAGCTGGAAGTCAGACCTCACGCCAGACTGTCAACTGGCCCCACCTTTCTCAGACCTCCTCTCAGGAGAACCAGGGAAATTGTCCCACATGAAAGTGCTGTTTTTGCAGTTCCCAGGGTACCGGGGACCGCACCCAGTTTGGTCTCGTCCCTCTCCACCCTGGACCTGGAGAGACGTGGTGAAATGCCCCTGGACAGCGCCAGGGTGGAAGCCGGCGAGACAGATGCAGGCCCTGCCCATGCACCCTGGCCAGAGACAGGCAGAGCCAGACAAACTCTGCTCTCTGCGCTGAATGGGGTGCCTTTGTTTAGCAGCAGGCCCTATTGTTGGCAACACGGGAGGAAGAAGCCAGCTCAGAGATCACAGGGTGGGGTGGGCGACAGCGCAGGGGACAGGAAGAGAGGAGACAGGGCCCGAGCAGGCCGGCTGAAGAACCCTTCCCTTGCCGGTCCACTCTGGTAAGAAGGAACGCGGCAACTCTGGGCAGACCCTGCCCTTCATTCCTGATTCCTCCTTGGCACAGCCAACCCAGGGGCTGGCACTGGGCACACTACATCCAAAACTGTCCCAGCAGAGCATGGCCTAGACCTGATAATAAAAAAGAACTCCCGGGCCTCCCCGGTGGCACAGAGGGTTGAGCGCCACTCAATCAGCTGTGAAGCTGTCTGTAGCCTCTGCAGTGCGGGTTCGATCCCGGCTGGCCAGGGAGATTCCCACATGACGCAGCAGACCTCTCCTGTTGCACCCGCTGCTCCCCTCAGCAGTGTATTTCTGTCGTCTGCCTGTTCTGCTCCCCGCTCTGCCTCTGGTGAATCCTCTCACCCTCCTGTGCCTCTGGCCTGTACCTCAGCTCTTGTATAAAAATAAATAAATCCTTAAAAAATAAAAAAATTAAATAAAAAATAGCTCCCATCAGCCTCCTGTCCCAGCCAGCACCTAGTGGGGACAGTCCTCAGTGGGCACAGCTGGGCTGGGTTGCAGGACACCAAGTGTCAATAAAACATCTGGGAAAAAAAGACAGGAATGGGCTGCCCAAGAGGTGTGCGGGAACTAAGCCCAGAGACATTGTTGGAGGGGACTCAAAGAGCAGGCAAGGCCGGGCCCCCTAGAGGTGCCTCAGTCCAAAGACCACCCCTTGCACAGACTTGACGGTGGGTTTGGACAGCCATGGAGGACAGACGCTGTGGGCAGGTAGGAGCCCAGTGTCAGGGCAGGGGCTCCATCCACCCCTCCCCCCACAGGCTGTGTGAGGGCAGGGAATCAAGCCACTGCTTTCTTCAGAGTAGATGGGACACAAGCACGCCGCTGGAAGCCTGCTGTTGACAGGAAGGGCCCAGGCAAGTGTCCTTCTATGAGGGCGGCAAGGAATGGAGACGAAGAGGCAGCACAGAGACAGGCCTGGTGAGGTGACAGGAGCCAGCTTGCTTTTCAGGACCCAGGAGCCAGGGGAAGACCCAGGAGCCAGGGGAAGACCCAGGCGGCCTTTCTCACTGCCAGCAAATGAGAGCTAGGGTGGGAACTGCCTCCCAGCCTAGGCCAGCGCCCCCTGGGGAGGGCTGCAGAGAAGGAGCTCTGGAGGGCCTGGGAGGGCGGCCACGGGGAGACACTGAACATCCCCTGCAGCCAGGCCAGGCAGGTGGGAGCATCCCCAGCACAGCAGCCCTAAGGGAGAGGCTGGCTCCACAGGGGCAGCAGCCCCCATGTTCTCTACTCTATCTCTGTAGAGGTTTGGCCAGGGATCCCAAGCACAGATGGAAATAGACTCTGGAAAGGTCCAGAGACAGGCAGGACTGCTTCCTTTGGGAGCCCTGTCTCCCAAAAGGCTGGGGCTTCCCAACCTGGCCTCCCCGCTCAGAGTAGCGGCTCCAGGAGGAAGCCCCTGCAGAATAGAGGTTCCTGAGCAGAGACTGTGATTTCCCCCATCAGACCGGTCATTCCAAATGGGCAGACACTGAGGCAGGCACCGTGAAGAGCAGGGCCCTGGAGACAGGAGAAGACAGAGGAGCCTATCCTGAGCTTCCAGAGGAAAGCCTAAACTCCGGGCTGGAGGGCAGCCCAAGCTGTCGCTGAGGCCTGGCCGGGGGGGGGGGGGGGGGGGGGGGAGGCTCAGGTCAGGCCAACCCAGCTGCTGTTTGTTTTCTTCCTTCTGGGCTCCTTCCCAAGGCAAACAAACCAGGGTGGGAAAATGAAGGGGACTTGGAGGAGCAGGAAATGCCTCCAGCCAGGTGGCTCGACCTCAGGAACCTCTGGGTGCCCCTGGAAAGGGCTCCAGCTGGAGTACCATCCCCTGCAGGTGACCCTCTGTGGGCAAAATCCCAAACTGGCAGGTAACCCCAAATCAGGACCCCTGGGAATAGAGAAACACTTTACCCAGCCTCAGGAAGCCCCAGCAAAGGGCTGATTTGTGTAGTGCCTCATCCAGGGGGACCCCTGGGGGCACCACACCTCAGGGCACCACTCCCCAGGGGTTCGTGCTGCAGGGATCAGAGAGCCCTCTCTGGAAGAGCAGGGAAGACAGACTCTTAGTTTCCTGTTCAGTGTACGCTGGAGAACACCAGAGTTTGGATAAGGGTTTGTTTAAATTTGTTTTTGTATACAGAGCATGAGCTCATCGAGACTGAGACGAGAATACGGACGAGGCTAAGAAAAGGGAAGAGACAGTGGATTTTTTCCCTCTCTGGGAATCTCTTCTGAACTTTCTGATTGTTTTTGTTTTTTAACAATGATCAGATACTACATTTTCAACCAAAAGGGAGGCTCACATCGTCCATCCGAGCAGTGACCTGATGACCCTGCCGCACCCCACAACCCCCCATGGGGACTAGCCAGGATCAAGGTGGGAGGAAAGCAGGTGTGTCGACCTGCATTTTGCACACTGCAGTGAGTGTGCTTCCCGCCCCGGGCAGCCCCGAAGGTTAAGGTGCCATGAGACAGAGCAGAGCAGCTCGGGAAAGAAGTTGCCAGAAATTGGGGCAGTCTGTGCCCCCTAGACTTCCACGGGATTCAACCATGTCCCAGGAGAGAGTCTCGAGGTGTCACTTGCAGGGACAAACACTGATGACCTGCCCCAGCCGCACGGTGCTTTCTCTTCACTGGGGTCGCTGGGCCCACCTGCTGGTGGGTACCTGCCCCTCACAGCCAGGTCTCTTCCCACCAAAAGACGCAAGACTCAGGGTCTCCCAGGGACCCTGAGAGACCAGAGTCACCCCAAAGGGTAGTGATTCCTGCCTGCCCTTTCTCTGGGGGGATAGCCCAAACCCGGCGCACCCCAAGGGGGCTTGGCTTCTCCCTCTTCCCCTTAGTCTTCAACTCAAGATCTCTCTGACACACAGGCGGTGCCTTCTCCTGTCTGACCCGCATTCCTTCCACAAAAGCTTCAGTCTCAAGCGCACCTGTGTCCTCAGGGGCCAGGGGAATTGCAAGCCCTCCGCCCTCTTTAGGGAGATCAGCTGGAACTGACTCCATCTTTCCGTCTCTGTCACACCAAGTCTCCTCAGACTTTTCTTCTCCAGGATCACTAAGCCCCATATCTGGGGCCCCCTTCGGACCTCAGGGGACCCGGACGCCCTGTATGTAAGCTCAGTACCCAGACTGCGGCGACACCAGGTGAGGCCCCACTTCCCAGGTCCATTCTGGTGTCAGGTGCCTCTTGGCAGAAGTGCGAAAGACAGCCAGGGCTGACACTAGCCCCTCACCAGAGGGCCATGCCTCTGGCTGAGCCCAGCCCCATGCCCAGAAAGGTTCTCCCAATAGTAGGAAACTCTCCTCCCAGCCCCCAGCCTCCTGAGCCCTAAGGCAGAGGCTGAGCCAGCTCCCCACCCAAGAGCACCCTGGCAGCACCGACTGGTACAGTCCAGCAGATGTTGGCCCAGTCCTAAATCTGACTCTCATTTCTCTCACTCCCCAGAGAGCAGGCCCCCCTTCATCCTGGCACAGCCCCAGCCCCCAGCAAAGCAAGTAACTCCCACTTCCTATCCAGGGACAAGCCCAGAACAGCCCATGATTCTGCCCAGCTCAAGTCAGGAGGCAGCTTTGACCCCCTGCTCTCCTCTCTCCCTTCCCCAAAAACCCCTTCTACACACCCCACACCGACACACAGTCCCCGACACAGCCCTGGGCCTTGGGGAGAGAGCCCCCTCCTGCAGGAAGGAAAAACCAACCACAAGGGAGGCTTTAAAGGGCTGGAGGCTAGGACATGAGTCACTCCTCTGACAAATCTGCCCCCACCTTCACCACCCACACATACCTTCCTGGGCCCTTGTAAATTCTCTTCTCCCCAAACTCCCGAGCAGAGGATCTCAAAAAAGGATGGCAGAAAAATTCTCCCCAGTGGTGCAGTGGGGTGACAGAGCAGAATGGGCTCAGTTTAGAGTCAGAGAACCTGAATGGTAGTCTTAGCCCTGCTTGGGTCTTCGCTGTGCAACCTTGGGCAAGTTACTTAACTTTGCTGAGTCTCAATTTCCTCATCTGTAGAATGAGGTAATGCCACCTGCCTCTAGGGATAGTCACAAGGATTCAGCTAGGACTGTTAGTAAAAGTGCCTGGTATCTGTAAGAGAGGACTTTTTAATCCATCTCTTTATAAGGACTTATTGGGTAGGTGGTATTATTCCCATTTTGCTGAGGAGATTACTAAGGCTCAGAGAGGTGACGTGATTTGACGGAGGCCATACAGGGAATGAAGGACAAAGCTGGGATTCAAACCCAGCTCTGTCCCAGCCCAAATCCCTGTGCTCAGAAGCTCCCCAGCCTAACAGCTCTCCCAGTAAACAGCCCTTCCCTCATCAACTGCCCCCTTCTCAATCTAAGGTGGGGTCCTCTCCCCAAACCCACTTTACAGGAGGGAACCTTCTCCCAGGTAAGAGCCATCCCTACATGGGTACCTGCCCCAAGGCTCTCCAGGAGGGAAGCAGGGCGCCAGCCCAGGCCTGACTTTCACCCCCAGCTTCATTCTCAAAGCCCTGGCAGCCCAAAGGGAGGTTCCAAGGGGGCGGGTGGGGGGTGGAAAGCACTCATGTCACTGAGGCTGGGGCTTGATCTAGCAAGAAATGACTAATTGGGTGCCTCCCTGGTGGCGCAGGCAGTTGTTGAGCGCAGCGCTATGAAGCTGTCCACAGGTGTCCACAGCCTCTGCAGTGCCGGTTTGATAACCTGCCGGCCACAGAGCAACCCCCATGGCGCAGCAGACCTCTCCTGTCTCGCCCGCCGCTCCCCTCAGCAGTGTGTTTCAGTAGATCTGTCTGTTCTGCTCCCCACTCTGTCTCTGGTGAATCCTCTCACCCTCCTGCACATCTGGCCTGTACCCCAGTTCTTGTATAAATAAATAAATCTTGAAAAGAAAAAAAAAAGAAATGACTAATTGGATCCTATCTTTTTCCCCACCCTCTCCCTCCAGTGCAGTAAGTGGCCCGTTTTCCCCAGGCACCTCCAAGCAATACTTCCTGAGTATTATCTTTTCATCAGAGCCACAAACCAGATTAGCTAAACTACTCATTTAACCAATGTGATTACAATCCCTTCCCCTCCTCCACCTTGGCACCAAGAAAAGGGAAAACAGGTTCTTTTTGCCCCAACTCCATGGCTCCCTGGAGGTACACTGCCCAGTAGAACAGAAGAGGGAATAAGGTTCCCTCCTCAGCCTTCCCCAAGCCTGAGAGGCCAAATCAGATGCGTACCACCGGAGGCCTCTCCCTGGAGGTGGGCCTGACCCCACCCCACTCTCCCATCTACAACCAACCCTGAGTTGGGGCAGGCAGCCCTGATTCCCCTCTCAATCTTCCTGTCACCCCAGGACTGAGGGAGAAGGGGTAGGTTCTTGCACACCCCTTCTGTTGCCCAAGGAGGCTGGGCTCCAAATCCCTGCAAAAAGACCACACTTCAGGTTTTCTGAAACCAGTGTTGGTGGAGATTGCCAACTCTGGCCTGGGGAGGGATTCTCAGGAAATTGTGCGGGGGAGGTGGCTAAGGCAGCTCTGCCTAAAACTAGCCCCCCAAAGCCTTCCCTCCAGTCCCACTTTCCCCATCAAGCTCTCAGGAAAGAGGGTGGGTGGGAAAAGAGCAGCAAAAGCCTCCAGAAGGAATGCACCTCCGTAATTCAGGAAGCGAATGGATACGGTGCCCCATTCTCGCGGCACTTCTACCTCACTCACCAGCCGACTAAAGAACTTGGGGGATGGAAGGGAGTAAAAAGAGGCAAGAACAATCACGCCCCCCACTCTCCCCGGTTGGCACGGCCCTGCCCCACCCCCATTCCTGGGGAGGGGGGCAGAGCTTGGGAGAGAGTCACTAGCACCGGCCTCTACCGAGGGGGTGTGGTGGTCCCCGGAGGCAGGAAGAGAAGGAAGAAGCTGCTTCCCCTTTCAGCCCACCCGACCCCCCCTTCAGGCCCCAGGGGCCCGGCAAACAGGATGGAGGTGGGGGCAGGGAGGACAGGGTCAGAGCGCAGGCACTGGCCTGGGTTCAGCCCGCCGGACTGGAGGAGGGGGCTTTGCCCCAAGAAGGACCCTTTAAGCCTGGGGAAGTCCTGGGCAAGGAGGCAGGAAAACCCCCCAAGAAAGCTGCCATGAGTACTTCCTCTTGGAAAGTTTGTTTGGGGTGATTTTTCCGACAATAAGTGGTTAGAGAAGAAGGGTAGTAGGGTAGTCTTTTTTCCCTATCAGCACCCTGGAAGCCTCAGCTACCAGTGAATTCTCCATCCGTGCAGGAGCAGGAGCCCTCCACCAGACCCCAGCCCCAGCCCCGGGAGTCAGCCCCTGCGGTGCAGACTGCCCTGCACCCGTTTCTCAGTCCCACCCCATCTCCGCTGGAGGAGCCTCGGCCAGGCACCCACCGAGCGCAGAGAGGTGCCCCAGGTACGGTACCCACCAGGCTACCAGGCTCCGGGACTGGAGGGCAGGGCCTCTGGACTCCAGCTGCTCACCTGCTGGGCAGGTAGGGCCCGTGTAGCTGGGAAAATGCGCACTGGGCCCCCACAGTTGGGCAAGCCGGGCGCGCAGACAATAGGGCCGCACCCAGGCCTGGGGGAGTTGGGAGGGAGGGAAAGCGAGGATGACGCGCGTGAGGTGGGGTGGGGGTGGCCCCAGAGAGACCAGCAGCAGCAAGTTTCCCAAACAGCACATTCCCGCCTGCAGAGTGAGCCCTGGGGTGCAGATGAAGAGGGCCGAAGTCTCCCCTGCAGGCTCAGGGCGAGAGTCAGGGAGTTGGCGTCAGACCAGCTCCGCCAGCCCCAGGGGAGGTGCGACCCCGGAGGCACCTGCCCGATCCCTCCCTAGTCCTGCTCAGGACTCCGGAACCCCCGAGCGCGCTGGGCTCGAACCTCGTGCCCCCTTGGTCGCCGTGCCCAGGACCCCAGGGCGCCCCCTGTCGCCGGTGCAGGGTGGCGCACCCCGGCACCCGCCCTCACCTGCCCGGAGAAGGCGAAGATCGGCCTCTCGGCCGCGCGCCGTCCCCCCTTAGCCCAGAGGTACCGTCCCCGGTCGCCCGCACCTGTGTGTGAAGCCTGGCCGGGCTGGGTAGGGGTCAGGCCGGGATGGGAGCCGGCGCGGGCAGCGAATTGAGGTCGGCGCGCTCGGGCGGCGGCTGCTCCGGACTCTGGCCAAGGCAGCAACTCCGTAACCGAACAAAAGGCGAAGGGACCTGACAGCCAAGCCACGCCCCTCGCCCCTGGAAGCCCCGCCCCCGAGGGAGACGCCCACCCTCCGAGGCGGGCTCACTGGCTGCCTCTCCTGACCGTCCTGCCGAGGGGCGGAGCCGCGAGCGCAGGCCTCGTCCACCGCCGCCTCTGTTTATCCGCTGGCCATTGGCCCCAGGGACTGCCAGTCGGCTCTGGGGACTCCCCCGCCCCGGAGACTCCACGCTAACACCGCACCTATTGGCAGGCAAAAGGTTACTTCCTCCTGATTGGGCCAGAAGCTGTCAGGAAGGCTAAGGAAAAGGGCCAATGGGAGAGATGGGGTGTGTCTTGCCCCACCCTAACTCTCAGCAGGTAAGACTCATTCATTACTCTCCCCTTCCCCCTACCTGTCCAACAGGTGAGTCAGGGGAGCCATGGGAAAGCACTGACGCCTTCACAGGCCCGCCAACTCAGCGTCAGGCTGATGCTTCTTTGGGCTTATTCACCTTTGCCACAAAGTAATAATAACATATTTGCATAGCTTTTCATAAGCTCTTTGCTAGACTGGGTTATTTCCCCCCAAAGATGCTCTTGGGATTTAGAATTGGGAGTCTTCGTTTTGGTTTCTGCCACTTAGTAGCTACATGGTCTTCAACTTTCACCCTGTTGCTCCTCATCTGTGAAATGGGTTCATTAGCTGTAGCTCTCACACAGATGGGTGGAGATTAAATGAAGTCTGTGAATCACTTGGACAACTGCTAAGTGTTGGAACTTAAATCAACGGCATGCGCTTTTTTAAAAAAATTCTTCTGACAATTTTGAAAGAATGTGAGGACAACACATGATCCTCATTTTAAAGATGGGGAAACTGAGGTTCCATGAGCCCACAGAACTAGAAAGGGGCACATCCTAAACTAGATCTCCTTTTGTCTCATTTCAAGAGCCACCAAAGCACACATCTCCTGGTGGAAAAGCAGCATAGACATAAAATGCTAAAGCAGTGGGGAAGGTTTGGGGTAGGGGAAAGTGAAAACAGACACCTGGGGAGACAGAAGAGCAATGATTTGGCACAAAGATGGAGAAAGGATTGGCGTAAGGTGGCTTTGGCGGGTTTGGAAAAAAATCAGGCAGCAGATCTAAAGGAAATCAGCACTGGCATAAAATAAATGGGACAGCCAGCTTCTTAGTGCAAGAGTCTATTAGTTATCAGAGAGAACTTCCTGATAAGCCAGTGAAGAAGACAAGGGCACTTCTTTTCTGTGGTTGATGAAATGGAGGCCCACTGGGGGCAGCTCAGCGTGCGGACCCATGGATATTCATTCATCAGCGTTTGGGCACGGCTGCATATACACCATGCATTGGGTTAGCCCCTGATGACATGGGGAGTCAAAACCACCCCAACCCTCAAACGGTGAAAAGAGGGCTAGGTGTAAACAGGTCTCCTAACCCCTCTGTATGTGGGTAACTCTGTGTTGGGGGAGTGACTGTTGAAGAAAGGGCTCCCTTCAAAAAAGTTGTATAGCCCCAAAACTAGCACACAGGACAGGGTGGACGAAGCTACCCCAGCAGGATCCCTAGCCCCTTTCTACATCAGAGAAAGGAATAATGGCTGAGCACTCTCACTTCTGAAGTTTGTGCCACCCAAGGAGTCTTCCAGAAGGGCCAGGGAGAATCTATATCCCTCATCAGTTATTATCATCCCCCATGCCAGGCTCCTACCCCTGCCCTTGGCTTCCCTTCCCTCCCTCCTCCTCCTTCTGCTTATCCCAATGTCTTTCTCCTACCTCACCCCTACCCAGCCACCTGCCTGCCACCCTGCCATGCCATGCAGTGGCCATCTGCAGCTTGACAGGACTCACAATTCTGGCTGCCCTGTTGCCAGCACCAGGATTTCCCTTCCTCCCTCTCTCACCTCCCAATGTCCCCTGCCCATCTCCCCCTCCCCTACCACCTGCCACTGCCCCGCCCCACCACACACACACACTTCCCAGACCCAAGCCTGCTTAACTCATTCTTTTCTCCTGACTTCAGCACACAGCAGGGTAGGGCTGGTTGACAGCAGAGGGGTGGAGGAGTCTGGGTGGAGTAGAGGGGCAGAAATAAAACTTCAGAATGAAGCATGCGTGTGCGTATATGTGTGCGTGTGCACTGCAGCGCCCAGAATGCTCTCCGAGTGTCTCAGCCTGGAACCTGCCACGACACGCCAGCCCCAAAGCCAAGTGCTCAGGCTGGGCTGGGTGAGGCACCGCCAAAGCAGGAAATTCTGGCATAAGCGCTCCCAGATGGCTCCTCCCAGATCAAAGGATTTTCTGCGCCTTTATTATATGCCTGCCTACTATGTGCCAAGCACCAGGGGTCCATCTGCAGGATACAGAAAAGAATCAGAAAGTAGTGTTTACTTGAATCAGCTGTCTAGGCAGGCGGTCCGGCCTCAAGGCAGGCGGTCCGGCCTCACGGGATGAGGTGGTGCCGAGGGGTCAGAATGAGGGCTGCTGTGGCCACAGTCTCCTCTGTAGCTTGAACCTGAAGGAAAGGCCCTAAGACCACCTCACACAGCCCCCTGCCTCCGAGCCTATAAAGGCAGGGATTTCTCCACTTGACAATTCCCAGGAAAGGCGATGTGCCAACCTCCATCAGGATACCCCCTTTTCTTTCTTCTAACGCTGCTGTCTAGCCTGAGTCCTGCTGTCCACACTCCGCTCTCTTGCCCGGAGCCCCATGGAAGCAGCTTCCACAGGAACCTAGCAGCTTCCTAGGGGCCTGGAGTAAAGGATTCACCCCTCTGCCTGCTGCCAGGAGTAACTGACAAAGAGGGGTCCAATGAGGACCTGTTGGGAGGGGGGGTGCTGAGGGGAGTGCATCCCCAGGGGAAGGGAACATGAGCCAGGCGTCCCCCTCAGCTCATCTGACTTCCCATCATGCTCCACGAGGTCTCTGGGCCATATAAGGAAGTGGAAGAGTTCTTGTTCTTGTGCAAACTTGGTCTTTTCTCTCCAGGAGCCCTTTCCCCAGACAGAGGCAGGGGGAGGCTTAGATGGGAGCGCGCGCACACACACACACCACACACACACACCCTTCTGTGCTCACACCTCAGGAATATGCAGTCATGGGCCCAGATTCAGGTGCACTAATGCCAGCCTTATCAGCACTCTCCCCAACACACACACACACACACACCATTCTTCTTTCCCCTTGGGGTTAAACTGGGGGGGGGACAGCACCTCTATAAAGGAGGACAGGATGGGGCCTCCCCTGGTGGCACAGCGGTTGAGCGCTGGGTTGCTAGGCTGCCCGTAGCCTCTGCAGCGCCAGTTCCATCCCCGGCCACCGGTGAGGGTCCCACATAAAAAAAAAAAAAAAAAGAGGACAGGATGAAGAGATGGGCTGCTATACTTCAGGCAGGTGATGTCCTTTTCACCACCAGCCCCTGGCCTTACAGCAGGGGAAGGGGGGCAGAACTTCCCAGGCAGCAGGCTGGATCAAAGGCAATGCAAATAGCAAGAGGCCCCTGGAGCCTGGGCCATCTCTCAGTGTCCCAGACTGGGCCACTTCTCAGCATCCAGGCAGAGCAGTGGCTCCTGCCCTTGGAAGAGCCCTGCTCTGGTCTCTGCTCCTCCCAGGGTCGTGCACTGCCCCCACCCCAGCGCACTCCCTCCCACCCCAGGGCTCATACCTCTCCCCCTTGAGATCACACTCAGGTACTGGAAATGCCTAGCCCAGGGCCGGCTTCTAGGGCCTGCAGGGCTCGCACACTGACCTTCCACCCCAGAACAGACAGCAGCACATGGCGGCAAATGGGTGACAAGGGACAGGGCTGGAGAGGGATGAACACAGCTGGACTTGCAGATTGGGGTGTCCAGTGCTGTGCTGGAGGCCCTTTGTGCTGTGGATGTCATCAAGACGGCCCAGGGGCTGGGGGACAGGGAGCTGTTATCCCCCTGCCATGTTCCGAGCAGGGGCTGGGTATTCTCAGCTCCACCACAGCCTTTCAGACCACCGTGGAGACGTACATGTCAAGGATATCTTAGCAGAGTGTTCTCTTGGTCTGGAACCTACTTAGATCTAGATCTATGGTATGTGGGCTCCGTTGGCGCTCCATTGGCCCCCTCCATTGGAGGGGGACTTGCCGGGGTGACCCTTTGAGACTGGGGAGAGGAAACTGACTGCAGTGAATGAGCTCGGCTCCCAAGCTCTTCTGACTGGCATGGACCCAAGTCGTGTGGGAGCCCGATGGGACATTGCAAGGCCCCAGGGTCGGGGTGCTCCTGATTTTTTGCTGCCCTTTATCCAGGGGAGGAGTCTGGAGGCCAGAGGCGGCCCATAGCCTGATCCTGTGGGCGGTGTGCCCTGCTGGTGGGGAGGCTTTAATGACAGAGGTAGCTTCCAGGCTCGTCCCTGGAAGGCATGTGGGCGGGGATGGAATGTCAAAGGGAAAACTGAAAGACGGGAAAATAGAGATAGGAAGGGCTAGAAATAGCACAGGCCAGGGCGAGATAGTCAGGGCTGGGGCCTGGCCGGGGCCAGGGCTGGTGGTGGTGGAGGGAGAAGGCTGAAGAAGGGTCACTGCCACCCCACCCCGGAACCTTTCCCCACAAAGTGCAATTACAGGACTCTGGAAGCCCAACAGGTGGGCTTCAAGCATCAGAAATATATTCTGGAGTTGGGGTCCCTGGCTCTCTGAGCAACCCCCTCACCCCGTCCAGAATGACTGGGGTGAAGAGGGGGGTGAAGTCTGTTCACCCGAGTCACACCCCTTCCAGCTCCCGGCCAGGGCACTCACCTAACAGGCTAACACAACTGGAGCCCCACCCACCCTGCCTGCCCCTCCCTCCCGCAACCAGCCGGGATAGTTGCCTGCCCCAACAGGCGCTCTTCCCACTGGAAGGCCACCCCTCCCTGCAGGGGGGAGGGGAGAAGAGGGACGGGACAAGAGTCATTGGAAAGAGGACCCAGGAACAGTCTAATCAGAGGCTCCTTCCTTGTACATTTGGGGAAGCTGAGGCTGCATCCAGTACTTCCCTAAGGCCCAACAAGTTAATCGGGTCGGGTTGGGAGTGGAACCTTTGCTTGTGCCCACCCGCCTACCTCTTTGGTCAATTTTGGTCTCTTCCCATGCGGACAAAACAGGGGGGAGGGCAACAAAGGAGAGGAGAGGGAGGAGGCAAGGATCAATTTTGTGAGAACTCACCCTGCGGTGTGACTTCAGGAAAACTGAGATTAGAGAACCAGGGCTGGGAGTGGGCTGGGGGTGGGTTTAGACCCCCAGGGATCTGAATCTGTAACCTCCCAGGCCTCCCCTACTCTACTCTACAGCCTCTAAGCTGCCAGAGCACCACTCAAATCAAGACAATCAACTATGCAAAGAGACCTTCCCCCCTCCCCCATGGGGCCCTCCTGCTTTCCAGTCCTGGACTCCACCTTGGTGGGAAGTGGGGCCAGGACTTGGAGACCCCCCCAACCCTGTACATTAATCGCATCTTCTCCAGTCCCATCCCGTGGCCACCAGGGAATTCGAGAGTTGAGATCTTTGAATATTTCATCAGCATTTCAGCCTCCAGTTGAAGAAGCAGCCAACTTACAGCTCATGGGTAATTTATGGTTCCAGAAGAGAACCTGGAAGTTGTGAGGGGGAGGGGCTGGGGAGTGGGGGAGGGGGCGGCCTGGACCAGGCTCCCAGTCCAAAGAGTAGAGGTGAGGATTGAGGGAGGAGCTTCAAGGCCAGGGACATTTCCATTTCTGAGGATGCCAATGTAGTATGGAAAAACAAACAAAAAATCAGAGTTATAAAAATAATAGTGCTGAAGGATAAAGTCATCTGGCAAGCATTTTCTGACTTCACGCCTGTCCTTGTGTCTCCAACTGCACAAACCTCATTTGAAGATAACAAAAAATTTTAATGGGAAGTCCTTCATGACTGTAAGACCAACTGCCAAAAGGCCCCCAGCTTCCCACACCCACCTGGGCCAAGTAGAGAGGCCAGATTCCCCATTTAGATTGACACAAGCTGGCTCCTGCCAAGCTGTGTTGCCTCCTCCAGGAAGGTCACCAGGATTTGACTGGAGGTCCTGGGAAAAGGAAGGAATCTCTTTTGACCACTCCTTACTTTGCTCCAGGAATATAACATCACACTTTGCTTTTAAAAGAAAAGATGGAAAAGGCTGGATCTCTCCCTCTTGACCTCTTCTTGGAGAATGACCTACCTTAGTGAGTTCTTTCAGAGAACTCACTGGATTCAGAGAATCAAGTATATGTGTGTGATGGAGGGGTCAACAAATAGGCATGTCTGCTTACCTCAGTTTCCCCACCTGAGTCATGGACATGAGAGGCATCCCACCCCAAGGGTTGTTTGGGGGATGGAAGAGATGCTATCCAGGTACCCCGGCGCCAGGTGGGACCAGACAGGTGGTGATTATGGGGATTATGGGGTGATGTGTCCACATATCGGGCCTGGGGTTTGGGCTGTGGCTGGCTCCAGCCGGTAGCCCCAGCCCCCAGCACGCCCCCACCTCATCCTTCAGGCATCTTGGAGCTTGATCATGGAAGGGAGCTGGGCAGGGTTGTGCCAGCCTTATTGAAAGTCAACCCCAGCCTTGGGAGCCCCAGTTAGCCTCTCTGGGCCTCAGTTTCCCCATTCACAGAACTGGGGCCATCTGTTAGGGCAGTTACTGGGCAGAAGTTGCCAGAGAAGGCCCAAATGAAAGCTCCAGAGTGGGGAAGCTGTGAGGGGCTGCTGTGGGGCTGCCAGGACTTCCCCCTGTCAGGTTATGCTCATGGCCCCAGTGCCAACTGGCACAGCCTTCTGACCCAGGAAGGGGTCACTCTTTGTCCCCAGGGGAGACCCATTCTCTCAGAGAAGGGAACATAAAGTTCTCAAACCTAAGAGGGAAATTTTTCCATTGGAATTCACTGGAACCTGGGAGTAGTCCATGGGGCTTGCCCCTTCCCTGGCCATCATGTCTTAAGATTCAGCAAGTCTGTCCTCAGGTACCCTAATATCCCATCCAATCCCACAAAGCTGACAATGGGGGTGGGGGCGGGACAGGATGAGCTCTGGGATCAGGTCTGAGAGTGGGCCTGGCAGCCTGCTGTCCTGTCCTTCCCTCCTCCCCACCTGAGACCTGGCAGGAAAAGGTTCAAACCCAGCTGGGCCACCACCCACCTCAGAGAACCCTGGGCAAGCTGCTGTCCATTCCTCAGCCTGCACTTCTGAGAGGGGAACTGATATCTACCTTGCAAGACTGCTCTGAGGGTTATAAAAAGCTGCCATGTGCTGAGCACATAGTAGGTACTCAAATGAACTCACTAGTAATGAAGCACATAGTAGGTACTCAGTGATGCTCTCCATAGGATGGGCTCTTCCCAGGTCCAGGTCCGGCACACCCTGTGGCACCTGAGTCTGGCCCTAGTGTTTCAGAACCCCCAGTGCCCTCTCGGAAACCCGTAAACTAACTATTTTACTACAGATGCGACCACTGATGAGGAGCGGGGTGAGGGTTTGGGGCAGGTAAGAAGGGGGCTGGGTCAGACATGTGGCGGAGGCCAGGGCGTCTGGCCTGGGTGGGGTTGGATGAATGGGCTCAAGGGCCCCAGAGGGCCCACGCCAGGCCAGGACTCGGTCTCACCGGTTTGGGGAGCTGGCTGCGCAGTGGGGAGACGCGGGCATCAGGGAGAGGCGGGAGGGGCTGGCGGCCTCCAGGGAAGGGGAGCTGAGTAAGGCGCCCGGACCAGGACCCCCTGGGCGGCCCCTTGGCCGCGGCCGCAGACACCGGCGGACACGTCCACGCGGACCCGCACATCGGCGCGCGGCGCCCCGACTCCCTCCCGCCCCGGCGCCGTCCCCTCGCCCGGCCGCCCGGATTCCTGCGCGGCTGCTCACGCGGGCGCGCTCCGGCACGTCCCCCGCGCCCCGGGCAGCCCCGCCCAGAAGCGGGAGGCGGGGCTCGGGGGAGCTGACGGCGCAGCGGCTCGGGGAGTCGGGGGCGGCGGGCCGGGCTGGCCACCCTGGACCCAGGGCCCGGGAGACGCCGCCTGGCAGACGCGCCTCTGGGAGGGAGGGAGGGAGGGAGGCGTGAGGTCACCGGCACCCCAGCCTGGACCCCGCCCGCGCTCCCGACTCCGACGACTCAGTCTTTCCGCCCTCCGCCGGACAAAGTCCCAGGGGAGGGGTTTGGGGTGCGGTAGGTGTCCTGCCAGGCACAGACGTGGGCGGGGTCCAGGCTCGGCCGACTGGCACATTCTCGGGGAAGGGCGGGGGTGTGGACGGTGAGAACTGGGCACCCCAACTCTAACTCCACCCTCCAGTGAGAGGCTGCGCCTTCACCCAGCCCCTCTCCCCTCCCCGAGGCTAGAAGCGAGGGGAGGGCGCTGAACGGTCACCTGACCAGGATCCCTCCCCAGAGAGGCCCCTTGTGCACCCACTTCCCTGCAGAGGAGCCTGGGGGGAGAAAGGGGGGCTGATGAGTCAGAGCTGGGTGATAGCCACCTGACATCATCCTCACCCCCACACCTCTGGACTCTCTGCCCGAGGAAGCCGATGAGAGGTTAGAGAAGAGGGTCTGGCCGCCTTTGGCTTCGCCATCCAGCCATGCCCGGAGGGCTGCGGGGCAGGAGCCTTGCGGTGGGATGGGGAGATGGGGCCGAGGATGTTCGCTCTGGCGCTAGGAGCCTGAGTCAGTAAATGCCTGGAAAGTAAAGGCCCGAGGAAAACGTCTAGGCCCCATCCCCACACTCGCTACATTCCCCGAGGGAGGCGGTGCTGAACGAGGGAAAAACAGGCCATCCCAGCCTGGAAACCCGAAACCACCTCCCCAGGCCGCGGTGGGGATGCGTCCTCGCGCCCCCTGGCGGCCATTTGCAATCGCGCACCGCCCCGGACTCCCCAACTCCCCAGCAGTGGTTGGGGGACAAGCCAAGGCCATGCGTGCAGCCTGCATTTACACGGGAGGGAAGAAGGGGTAGAGGGAAGGATCTTCAGCCTCACCCCTCACCACTCAGCTCTGAGGGGACTGGACCCCAGGCACTGTGATTCATTCAGTGAGAAATGTTTATTTAGCACCCACTGCCAGTGTGCCAGGAATGGCGGGTGTCCTGTCTGGAGCGCTTCACAATGCCCCTGCCCCTGTTGTCTCAACAATTCAGGCTGAGGCACCAACTACACGGAGCTAGAGCTTCTCCCCAGGAGACCGTCCAAGTGGGGAGAGCACTAGGAAGAAGGCCGGGCCTGCAGCAGAGGCAGTACTGCCCCCCTGTGCTCCTGGAACCAGCGAGGAGGCAGGAGGGCCTTGAGCAGTGCTTGCAGGTGGGATGGGATGGGGCCTGGTCAGCTATGTCCATTTTACATTTTTTAATAAATAGCTCTTGCCGCTGCCCAGGTGAGGGGGTTGCCACTGGTCCAGGCTTCCCAAGGTCTGGAGGGCATAGGGGTGGCTCTCTGTCATGCTAATTCAGGCTCTGGTTCTGAAAAAGAAAGAAGAGGGCATTAGGGTGCTCCCCAACTCCAAACAGGTGTCTGGATGCTGTCCTAGAAGGAGGTGCAACAGGCAGGCGTGGGGCTCTGAGGAACAGGCCTCAGCTGGTCCCTGCTCCAGGAAGGATGCACCCGCCACCAAGATGGGTTCCAGCCCCCAAGACACACTCCACTGCCTCTGCAGCCCGGTGCATGGATCCTTCTGTCCCAACCTCCACCCCAGGATGCATTCCCCACCATCGCCCAGAACCCAGCCACTGACCGGCCTCAGCCTCATCGCCCTTGGCATCCGGCTCCTGCCACCAGTCAGCATAGATGCCTTCTTCATAGTCACCCTCTCCCTCAAACTCAGCATCGGATGGGGGGTTCTTGGGCTCCACGGGAGATTCTGTTTCCTCCAGCTCCATCTAGAGAGCCCACGGTGGAGGGAAGAAACCAGGTAAGAACAGAGGTAAACCCAGATGGGCCCCCAGCCAGGCCAAGAGGCCCTCCCAGCCCATCTGTCCTGAAGCCCCTTCTGCCCTTTGCCGTAGGCTCAAGGTCTCACCCAGGAACCATATGAAGGTTTCTCCCACAAGGGCCTTTTCCCAAACTGCCCCCTCCCTGAGCTGATGCAAGGGCCCCACCCACAGACTTCAGTGTTAGCATAAACATGGCCCTCTCCACAGCCCACCTTTTAAGCACAAATATGTGGCAAGAAGAGTGCTAGTCCCAATATGGCAGGCCATGCTGTTTTCCAGGCCAGAAATGCCTTTACCTGCTGTGCCCACATGGCTTTTGTCCAGCCTTCCAAAGCCAGGCATCAGCTCCAGGATGTGGCCCTTGAAGGATGACCTCTACTGGGTCAGAAGCCCTCCAGCGGGGCCCCACGCTGGCCCTCCCCGGCACTGTTGGTGCCTCCTCTGCTAGGCTGTGCCATTCGTCAACTCAGCCCAGCCCAGCCCAAGCACGGTGTCTGCAGAGAGCAGGCTACAAGTAACACTAATAAGCTAGCTTCTACTCACAGAGCACCAACTATGTGCTAGCTACGTGCTACGTGCTTTACCTACTTGATCTCACTTAATTCTAACCACAATGGCATGGCATGGGCATTATTCTCCCCACTCAGTGGATGAAGAAGTGAAGTTTGCGGGTTTTCTCAGCATTGCCTGGAGCTGCCCACCTGGTAAGTGGAGAGCCACATCTGGCTTGCACCACAGTCTGGCACCAGCAGTGTCAGTCCTGCCCCGTGGTGATGCGTGGGGTCACGAGTGCATGAAAACGGATGGATGGATAAGCACCGAGCAGCAACACCTCACAGAAACTCAGGCTCTCAAGCCTGCATTCAGTCAGAGTAACAGGCTGTGGTCCTCCCTCCTGTGTCCTGCACGCAGGCATTCATTCACTCATGGCTCATTCAAACTCCATTTCTGAGTTTCTACACCAGGCAGGGGAGAGCTGGGCATAGCTTGGTCCCCTGTACTGGAGTGCAATCCTCTAAAAGCCTGGCTGAAGAAGGGGGCGAAATGGACTAGAAATGCAGTAACTCTAGATCCAGGCCATAGGTGGTCAGGGAGGTGCCAAGGGTCAGAATTGGCACTGAAAGCCTAGAGAAGAGCCAGGATAAGCAGCCAAGGCTTCCTGGAGGAGGTGCCCCTGAGCTGGACCCCAGAGGAGACTCAGACACAAAGAGAAGGAGGCAGGAACACACCAGAGGGCAGAGAAGGATAGATGTGGGTCAGACAGGCCATCTCTCCTGCTTCACAGCAGCTGACCACGAGGAGTTGGTCACAACAGCCCCAGGGAGAGAACCTGGGGCTCTCCCTCCATCAGCAGGCCGTCGCAGTTGGGAATGCACGGGCCGCTCACCTCATCATCTGACTGCAGGTACATGTGTGCGAACTCCAGCAGCTCCCGCAGCTCAGCGGTCTGGTTGTGGTAGAGCCTGGCCTCCTGGAGGGCAGGGAAGAGGGCAAAGGCCATCAGTGAGGGTGATGAGGGTCTGAGGGGCAGGAATGGGCTGGCATTTTTCTTTTCCACTTTCCATCCTGCCTTCTAAGGAAGCCAGGACCTTTTCTCAGACCACAGGTCCCACACTGGAGCTGGGTGCTGGCGAGGCGGGCAGTCCCACTGCCATTTTGCAGGTGAGGCAAGAGATTTCAAAAGGGCTAGTAATGTTCCCAGTACCTCAGAGCTGGTGGGACCCCCCATCACAACACATCCTGTCCGTCCTGTCCTGTCCTGTCCCCTTCTAGCACCCCCAGTGTCCCACGAGCGCCCCAATGGCAGCACCCACCTCCCGGGGCTGGAAGTCTTCCTCTTCCAGGCCCCAGCGGGCCCTGTGGAAGCGGTAATAGACCAGGTTCTGCTGCATGACGCTGTCCCCGGGGTCGAAGAGCATGTAGCTGGCAGCGCTGCGGGCGGCCTGGCGAACGTCGTTCACTGCGAGGGGACAGAGTGCAGAATGGCCCTGCCACCTCTCTAGCTCAGAGACAACCCCCACCTAGCCCACCCCTATTTCCCAATTGAGTCCAGTATCCCCCACTCCCCAGCCACCTCCCAGAACACTTGAACACTTGTTGGGTACCTCACCCCACCCAGTGATAACGCAAGCTAGAATACACAGGGCATGTACTGGGTGCCAGTCCTGTGTAACTCATTTAAGCCTCACTGTTACTGCCATCCCCAGTTTACAGGCAAGGAACACAAGGCACAGAGAGGTTAGGTGAACTGCTCAGCCTCACACAGATGGAGAATGATGGCCTGAGGAATTCCAGGCCAGCAGCCCAGCCCTCAATCACTCGGCCATCTGGACCCATTGAAGGTCCCGGATCTCAGCCCCTCCACTCCAGCTCCGACCTGAACTTGGCATCTCTGCATTGCAGTAACCCTGGGGATGCCTGTCTCAGCCCCTCCTGACACCAGTCATACGCCCTGGAGCTTTTTATTTGCCGTATGATTAAGAATCCCTTGGTCTCTATATGAGCCTCAGTTTCCTCATCTGAAAAAATGGGCCCAGTCATGTCAGCTGCAGGGATAAGTGAAAGGATCAAGTGAGAAAAGCAGCTGCGGCAGGGCTATGCAAACTGTGAAGTGCCGTGCAGCTGGTCATCTATCATGTGCTCTGGAGGCCCGCTCTTGCTCTGTGCCCTCCCTAGCAGCCCCAGGCATCCTCGCCCATCTCCCCATCACCCCCAGCCTTCCTCCATCACCCAGGGTCCTCCCTTCTGAGGCACACACCCCATGTCCGTGACACTCCCAGTGCAGTGCCTCCCTCCCCTGCCCCACCCCACCGGGAGGCTCACACTTGTAGTAGGCGAACTGCAGGTAGTGATACATGGTGGCCACGAACTTCTCCACAAAGTAGCCACCCACATTGGGGATCAAGTTGGTCTCACATTCCACTTTGCACTGCAGGGATTCTGCAAAGAGATCTGGGGGTGTGGAGGCAGTGGTGAGGGGCTGGTGTGGTACTCAACTGCTCCCTCCTGCTGCTGCGACGGGGTGGACAGGGTGATGGACTTCAGGTCACGGCTCAGCTGGCTCAGCCTGCTGGGCCCCACTCCCGTGAGATGAGGTGTCCATACTCTCTGATTACGACAGGTGCTGAGGGGGACTATGAGCTGGGCTGACTGACCACCCCCATAGCCATCCCAGGCAGAGGGAGCCAGGGCATTCTGTGAGATTGCTGTGAGGTTGCAGGGGGGATGAAGCCCAGCTAGGGAAGCTAAGGTTGGCTTTTCTGCCCCCCACTGAGGGACACCTGAGGTCAGGAATCCCCATCACCAGGTGATTTCTGGCCACAAACTTCGTTCTGCACACATGGGCTGGCTGTGTGCCATCTTGGCGCCTTGATACCCACATTGTCCTCTGCCTGGAAAGCCTGCGGCCCCAACTCCCTCATCTTATGGGCCGTCACGCCTCTGCACACATGTCTAGCACCTTGGACACTGGCGACTGGAGGCTTCTGCACCCAGCAGCAGGAGGACCGGTCAGGACAACACCTGACTCCAGCCACCTCCCAGGCAATCAGCAGATGTTCCGTAAATTGTACGGAATGAAAATCTGTATTAGGGGCCCTCGGAGAAGCAGTCCTGTGATGAGTGGGGTGCCCGCGAAGCCTGGCTGGGGGTACCTGCTATGGCTGGGTAGAAGTCCTTGAAGTCCACCTGCTCCTGGGCCCCCTCGCAGCCGGCCAGACAGCGAGCAAAGACAGCCAGGTACTCGGCCAGGGCGCGCTCCATGTCCTCGCTGCTGCCGCGGAAGTCCCCGCTGTTGAAGAGCTTCACGGCCCGCAGGAACACAGCCTGGAGGGGGGCGGCAGGGGTCAGTAGGTCCTTCACTCCCCTACAAGCCCTGAGAGGACCACGGAGGCGTGTCAGGGTCAGGGCCAGCCCCGCTCCGCCTCCCCACCTCATAGGGCTGGGCCTCCAAGTCGGTGAGGGGCTCATTCGCGGCGTCCAGCAGCCCCCGGTAGTAGTTGAGATACTTGGTGGTCAGCTCATGCTTGGGGTTCCTCTGGAGGAAGGTGTAGGCCGCGGCCACGGCCTTCTCCAGCCGGTTAGCCTGCGGGGCGGAGACGGGTGGGTCAGTCGGCCGGGGCGGGGCCCACACGCGGGCCCGGGTTTGTGCGGGGCTCCGAGCCCGAGACGGGCCGGGGTGAGGGGGGATCGGGGGTTCGCCCACCTTGAACTGCGCGTAGTGCAGGTACTGGTAGGGCAGGCGGCTCTGGAAGTCGCGCAGCAGCTGCTGCGGCGGGTAGGGCACCTGGAAGGCGGGCAGCGTCCGCTTGCAGCGTCGCAGGCAGGCGGCGCGCTCCAGGACGCGGCCGAAGAGCCACAGCTCGCGGGCCCACTCGTCGGCGCGGCCGCCGTCGGGGCGGGGCGCGGGCCCGGGGGCCGAGGCCGAGGCCGCGGGCGGCGCGGGGCCGCTGCAGTTGGCGTGGCAGAAGGCCTCGCTGTCCCGCAGCAGCCGGTGCAGCCGCAGCGCCGCCTCCAGGTAGCGCGCGCTCTCGCGCCAGCTCTCGCCCTCGTACTGCTCCAGCGCGTGCCCGTAGGCGGCGGCCAGGGGCATCAGGTCCTCGGGCGGGAAGCCGCGGAAGCTGTACTTCTCGTACTGCGCCCCAGTGCTGCCCAGCAGCAGCCAGAGCAGCGCCCACGCCGCCCGCCCCATGCCCGCGCCGCGCCGGCCGGCCGGCTCTCCCCGCGGAGCAGGCGTCGGGCCCGGGGGCGGCGCGGCGGAGGGGCGGGGTGGGCGGGCCGCGCGCCCGCTGGGTCTTAGCGCCGGCGCGGGGGAGGCGCAGGGGGAGCCGGTGGGGGGAGCCGGGGGTGGGGAGCCTGGGTCCGGCCGGCCCAGGGGCGCACGCCTGCGCGCCGTCTCTTCACGGGACCCGACGGCCGACTGACCACCCCCCTCCCCGGCCCGCGGGGCTCTTCCCCAGCGACAGAGGGTGACTGCTGGGGAGGGGGGTGTTTCCGAAGAGACGCGGGGCTCAGAAAGACCGCCCACACCTAGAGGGGCCCCACCCCCCAACCAACACACACCCAGTTAGAGGCAGAAATTGAGGGCAGTGCCACCTTCCTCTGCTCGGCCCAAGCCGGGGGGCTGGCGTGGCGCCTCCCGCAGCGGCCCTTCCGCACGCGCCCCGCCGCCAGCCCCGACGGGGCCCCCGAGAGTCCCCTCTGCACACCCCGGATCCCCCCCCGCGCCGCCCACTCGCGCTCCAGTCCCCGCTCCGGCCTCCGCGGGGTCCACGCCGCGTCCCAGGAGGGGCTGCGGGCGGTGGGGGAGCAGGACGTGCAGAGAAACCCCGGGGCCGCTGGAGCGTCACCCGCCGCCTGGGGAGGCCTAGGGCTGGGGGTGCCGGCCAAAGCAGCAGGGGATGCCACCGGCTTTAGGACCCGGAGACTCCGCCAAAAAAGACATCGAACTTTTCCTTTTTTTTAGTCCGCTCCGCAGCTCGTCTTCCCCGAACTTCCCTCCCTTCGGGCCCCCGGTCCCGAGCCCCGGGCTGGGGCGCGCAGGGGGATGAAGTCGGCCTCAGCCGCGCCCCCTCCTCCGAGTCCACCCCTATTCCTCCACCCCACCCCACCTCCGCCCCAGCCAACTCAGTCTCCCCAGCCCCCATTCCACGTGGACCCGCCAGCGCGGGGGTGGGGACGGACAGGAAGGGGGGGAGCCAGCCCCGGGAGGAGGGGTGAAGGAGGCCGCTGGCGGCGTCTCCCTCGCTCGCGCTCACAGCCGGCAGCTCCAGCTCCAGGCACCATGTTCGGTGAGGCGCCCCGCAGCCACACCCTCCCCCGGCTGCCCCGGCTGCAGCTGCTGCTTCTGCTGGTGCAGGCCGTGGGGAGGGGGCTGGGCCGCGCCAGCCCCGCCGGGGGTCCCCTGGAAGATGTGGTGATCGAGAGGTACCACATCCCCAGGGCCTGTCCCCGGGAAGTGCAGATGGGGGATTTTGTGCGCTACCACTACAATGGCACTTTCGAGGATGGCAAGAAGTTTGACTCGAGGTAATGGGTTGGGTGCCTCCCCCCACTGGTCATTCCCCTTCCCCGAGCCCCCTCTGGGCTCTCTTAGGTCCCTCCTTGTCCCCTTTCGGCTGTGTCTGTACCCAGGTGTTCACTCCACAGTATCCTAAGCTGAAACCGTACCCTCGGGGTGGGGTGGGGGCACTCCTGGACATCGATCTCCCCAAAACATTCCCCGTCCTCAATTTCAACTATTTGTCCCTGATTTCTTCCGTACAAGTACCCTCCCTCCACAAAGTGCTTGATGATACAGGTAAACTGCTCTGTTCTTACTTACCATTGCTTTGTTCTAAAGACATGGGGGGGAGGGGCATGGTCCCTGCTGCATGTGAATCTTCAGGTGGTCTCTCACCTTGGGACCCCCGACCTTTCCACCCTGGCTCCCTTTCTGACTCCAGCCCAGGTTTCAGTACTTTTGTGGTTAGTAAATAAGGAGCAGAACTGTTTGGAGGGGGTGGGGGTTATCTGCAACAGACAGGATAAGCAAACTGGGCATTATAAATAAACAGCAGGATTGATCTGGGTGTGGGGCAGCTCTCTGGGCACCCTGTCTATGTGACACACAGTCCCACACACCACCTGGGCTGCCCTGGGAAGATTCTCAAGCCTCTCTCCCAGCATGGCCCCCCGCCTCCCACCCCCCACACACCCCTCCGTCCATCTTAGCTACATCAGACTAATGCTGCAGCCTGCCTTGCCAGGCTTGGGGTTTGAGAGACTGGCTTCTGGTCTGATCCAGACCTTGGTCTGCTCTGGGAAGTCTACCTTTGTTGGTGGGGACAGGAGGGATGTGCCTCCACCTTAGTCAAACCTTGGGGCCAGGTCTCATTCTCTCTCTCTCTCTCTCTCTCTCTCTCTCACACACACACACACACACACACACACACACACACAGAAGTTTGTCCCTCTTCCACCCCCTCCCCAGAACACACAGCTCAGCCCACAGGAAGTGAGTGGCCATGGCTTCGGAGGCAAGCAGTATGTATATTGGGCAAAAGTATGAACTCCAGAATCTCAGCTCTTGGGTTCAAGCTCAGATTATTACAATAATCAAGGAATTTTGCCCCTTTTAAATTTCACCCCTGCTGTATCTGAAAAAATAGACAATAAAAGTTATCTCTCTTCTGAGGCTGACATTAGGACTGAAATAGGATGATGTTTTACAGTGCCTGGCAACAGAAAAGCCGGCTCAATACACATTCTTTACCTTGACTCTGGGGAGAACCAGGATGGTGTTTAACTGGCCCGACTCCACCAGTGTTGGGGCGCTCACAGGCCCCCTGTGCTGTGAAGGAAGCAGGCCAGGCAGGCCAGGCAGAAAACCAGCGGGATGGGGGTGGGGTGGCGGGTGTAGAGGGCCCAAACTGAGGTCCTGGCAGTATATAAGAGTACAACCAAGCTCTTGATGGCCAATGTTGGGAATTGGGGTCTAACTCCTGGTGGGGACTCCAGCCACTCGGCTGGGCCCAGTTCATGCAGCGCTGAGCTTGGAAAATTTCTAACCCTTGGCTCCCTTCCATCCAAAATAAAAATCTCCCATCCTCCCTTCTGGAACCTTAAAGTAAATTAAAAGTTGTAACTAAAACCAAATACAAGGCAGGACAATTTTAGATTGGACCATTTGAAAATTGAAAACCAGTCCCTGGCCCTGGCCAGCTCCGCAACCCCACCCGGGGTTGGAAATCAGTGGCAGAGACATGGGCTGGGGAGTCCCGCAAAGCACACCTCAGCACACCTCAGCTGTGTGAGCTGGCACGTTACTTAGGCGCTCCAGTCTCAACTTTTCTTCTAAGAAAAATAAAAATAATCATTCCCCCTGGGAGGGGGAATTTAAACAAGATACAGTCAGGTTGTAATGGAGCCGCTTTCTGAGAGATGCGTCCTTAGGCGATTGTCCTTAGGCGATTTTCTAGTTGTATGAAGGTGCTAGAGTGTAATTAACAAACCTGGGAGGTGGCACCTACTCATCATCCCCCAGTCTAGCCAAAGGGACCCCCCTCCCTATACGCATCCCCTGTTAAGGGAACACCAGTTATATGGCTAATGACTGATGAATGCAAAATGCCAAGCATTTAATCTGGCATACAGTAAGTGCTCAATATATGTTGCTCTTTCCCTCCTGGCGGTACTTACCACTCCATTGCTGTCAATAGATAATAGTATCAGACAGGCCTGCAGAACACTCCCCCAAGCCCCTCATACCAACAAATTCAAGCCTCTGTCCTCTGGGACTTCCCTCTAGTAACAGCCCATCCTATCAAGTCGGGCGGCGCGGCCCACCACGGGGGACGTGGGGTGAGGTGCCCATGGGTCTACATGTGTGTAGGAGGGGGATTGTGTCTTTGTGTGTGCGTGCACCTGCACCTTTGGCCATGGGCAGAGGCCACTGTATCCCATCTGTGCCCTCCCTCCCCTCCCAGCTACGACCGCCACACCTTGGTGGCCATCGTGGTGGGCGTGGGGCGTCTCATCACCGGCATGGACCGAGGCCTCATGGGCATGTGTGTCAACGAGCGGCGACGCCTCATTGTGCCTCCCCACCTGGGCTACGGCAGCATCGGCGTGGGTGAGAAGGGTGGACACAGGCCTGAGGACAGGAGGGACCGGGAGGCAGGAAGCTCACGGAGGGGGAGTCACTGACCCAAGGTCACACTACACACGTGATGTGAACCGTGGCTGGTCTGTCTCCGCCTACCCCTGAGGTGGGAAGAAGGGGTGTGACAGGGCCCAGGTGGGATCACAGCTTCACTAGCAAGAAGGGGAATGTGAGGTGGTGGAGGGGGTGGCAAAGCAAGACTCTCAGACCCCCACCCCACCCCCACCCTGGGGACTGCCCTGTCCCCACAGCGGGACTCATTCCCCCCGATGCCACCCTCTACTTCGATGTGGTTTTGCTGGATGTGTGGAACAAGGCGGACACTGTGCAGGTGAGCACCTTGCTGCGCCCACCTCAGTGCCCCCGCATGGTCCAGGACAGCGACTTTGTCCGCTACCACTACAATGGCACACTGCTGGACGGCACTGCTTTTGACACCAGGTAAGGGCTGGAGGGAACCCTGAGGTGCTGAAGATGGTGGCAGAGGCCGGGGGACTCACGGCCCATGCTGACTCCCCACCCCAGCAGTATCATCTCTACCTCATTGTCTTTCAGCTACAGTAGGGGTGGCACTTATGACACCTACATTGGCTCCGGCTGGCTGATCAAGGGCATGGATCAGGGGCTGCTGGGCATGTGTCCTGGAGAGCGAAGGAAGATCATCATCCCTCCATTCCTGGCCTATGGCGAGAAAGGCTATGGTGAGGGCAGACAGTGGCTTGGGGAATCTCCGGAAGTGGGCTGCCACACACAGTTGTTCAGGTTGTGCACTGCACAACGGTACCAGCCCAGGAGGCAAGTAGGGATGAAATGTAGCCCTTGGTAATCATCTCACTAAGAATGGGTACTTTATTCTGATCCACACAAAGGCTCAATATGGGCCGGTGGTGGCCCTGGGGATAATTCAGCTCGGGCCTCAGAGGGAGACAAAAAATAGGGCCCCTGCTTGACGAGAAAAGGCTCTGGAGAGCAGGGCCAGGACCTTTTTGCTTAGGGCTCATAGGGGCCTTTTCGGGGCAAGAGGAGCCTTGGGTGCTCTCCACTTGTATGGTTCAAGCCTATCCCGTCCCCAGGGACTGTGATCCCCCCACAGGCCTCCCTGGTCTTCCATGTCCTACTGATCGACGTCCACAACCCCAAGGACACTGTCCAGCTGGAGACCCTGGAGCTACCACCTGGCTGTGTCCGGAGAGCCGTGGCCGGCGACTTCATGCGGTACCACTACAATGGCTCGCTGATGGACGGCACCCTCTTTGATTCCAGGTCAGGGGGTCCTGAGGATGGAGGGTGGGGGTTGGAGGGGGCAGAAGAAGCTGCCAGATATGGGGGTGGCTCTGAGCTGCCTGGAAGGGCAGGGCACCTTTGACCTCTGCTGGTCCTGCATTGCAGCTACTCCCGCAACCACACCTACAACACCTATGTGGGGCAGGGCTACATCATCCCCGGAATGGACCAGGGGCTACAGGGCGCGTGCATGGGGGAGCGCAGGAGGATCACCATCCCCCCACACCTCGCCTATGGGGAGAACGGGACCGGTAGGCTTGTCCCTGGGTCTGGACCCACTGCTCGGTGACCTTCCCTCACACACACAGCGGGCTTCCAACCACTGCCCAGCCTCTCATCACAAAACCAGCCACCCCCCAGTTCCTCCCACAGACTCCCTCATTATCTCGGGCCACCCCCCACTTCTCTCTCCCATGCTGGAGGCAGGCAGCCCTCCTGAGTTTGGGCGGGGGTGGTTATGGAAGAACAGAAATAGCATAACCCTAGGAAACTACAAGACCCACCTCTGCTGGAAGCCTCAGTGTCCTCACCTGTAAAATGGGACTCATGGCATTGACCAACAAGCAAAGTGATGGAGGCTGCAAGGCACGTGCCTCCCAGGGCTCCTGCCAACAAGAGGGCATTAGCACAGGGTTGGGGTGGCTTGGGAGCTGGGGAGCAGGTCCAGGGGCCTCCACAGACAGCCGTCCTGGACTCTGAGCTGCTCCGAACCCTACTCGGCCCCAGGAGACAAGATCCCCGGCTCTGCCGTGCTGATCTTCGACGTCCACGTCATCGACTTCCATAACCCTGTGGACCCGGTGGAAGTCAAGACGCTGGCCCAGCCCCCCGAGACCTGCACCGAGACGGCCAGGCCTGGGGACTTTGTTCGATACCACTACAACTGCTCTCTGCTCGACGGCACCAGGCTCTTCTCCTCGTGGGTCCGGGGCAGGGCCAGGGCTGGGCAGGTGGGTGGGCCGGGCACCCTGACTTAAGTTCCCATCTTGGAGGAGGGGGGAACATGAGGAGCTGAAATGCTTTACTGATGGGTGGGCAAAGGGAAGTGGCGCTGGCAGCGGGAAGAGCTGTTGTTTCCATCCTCTGGAGGGGACAGCCAGGTCTGGGAGATGAGCCGCCAGGCCAGGCCGCACCACGGGGGAGCAGGGCGCCCCCTCTGAAGGGCTGGGCCCGCACTCTGCTGTAGGGGCGGTCACTGGGAGTGACTGTGGACTGACCGAGGGCTTGTCCTGTGCCCTGGGCCAGGGTAGGATGGGGTGGGGCAGGGTGGGGGAACTCGAGTCGGGGAGAGGAAACAGGGCTAGTGGTAACACTGCAATCTGCTTCCCCCCAGCCATGACTATGGGACCCCCCAGGAGGCGACTCTAGGGGCCAATAAGGTGATCGAAGGCCTGGACACCGGCCTTCAGGGAATGTGTGTGGGAGAGAGACGCCAGCTCATCATCCCCCCGCACCTGGCACACGGGGAGAGCGGAGGTGAGGCGTGACTGTGGTCTCATGGGCGCTCTGCCCCTTTGCCTCTGCCCACTTGGGGCCTAGATGGCTGATGGGAGGAGTCAGGGAAGCTTTCCGGATGGTTCTGTAAAGATCCCAGGCCCCACTCTCCATTCTCCAAGAAACCAAGGTTGTGGGCTGGGGAGCACACTGGGAAGGCTGCACGGCAGGCCCAGATCCTGGCCTAATTGGGCCTCTTTCCTCTCCCTCCCTCCAGCCCGGGGAGTCCCTGGCAGCGCGGTGCTGCTGTTTGAGGTGGAGCTGGTGTCCCGGGAGGAGGGGCTGCCCGCTGGCTACCTATTTGTGTGGCACGAGGACCCTCCTGCAAACCTGTTTGAAGGCCTGGACCTCAACAAGGATGGCGAGGTCCCCCCAGAGGAGGTGGGTGGGGACTTCAGTCCTTACAATAACCGCTCCCACCCTCTACCCAGGAGCCGCCTGCATGGCTGCAGTTCTCAAAAACGCGCGTCCGGCTCTCGTGTGCGGGTTCCTGGCCCTGTGCCCTCGCTGTGCCTTGGGTTCCTTGTCTTTGCCTTTGCTTCTAGCCCATTCCCCCAGCTGCTGACACACCCTCCTCCCTGCCCCCTGTGCCAGGCCCCCTCGGGAGGGGGCGAGCAGCCTGGGGGAAGGAAAGGAAACCACCCTGGCCGCCTCCCAGGGCCCTTCCAAAGGCCGCCATCCACTGCTGCTCTGACTGACCCCCTCCCTTGGCTCTCCTCGCCCCCCAGTTCTCCACCTTCATCAAGGCTCAAGTCAGTGAGGGCAAAGGACGCCTCATGCCTGGGCAGGACCCCGAGAAAACCATAGGAGACATGTTCCAGAACCAGGACCGCAACCACGACGGCAAGATCACTGTGGAAGAGCTCAAGCTGAAGTCCGATGAAGACCAGGAGCGGGTCCACGAGGAGCTCTGAGGGCAGGGGCCTGGGGGCAGGGGCCTGGGACCGACCTTCCAAAGTCACCCTCCCCTCTGCTGGGACGATGTCTGGGAGCGTGGAGCAAGTGGTCAGAGAAGCCAGCTCTGCTCCCCCACCTGCCCTCGGGGAGAGCCCGCGGCACCCGTGCCTATTGGGAGTCTCTCTTCAGCCCCCAAGCCCTTTCCTTCAACTTGCTGGCGCTACAGAGCCAGTCTGGGCATTGGTGGAGTTGAGGAATGAATGGGGCCGCTGCTGGGCCCCCGCCCCCACCTCCCCGCTGCATCGCTACACTGAGTGAGGCCAAACTCCTCATTTCTTTATCCCCCTAAACTTGCGTCGTGGTTGCGGTCCTTTATTATTCCTCATCATAAATTTTCTTCATCATCCACCACCCTTCCATCTCCAGCCCCATTTCTGTCATGGACCAGCCCCCAAGAACGTGAGCCAGGCTGGTAGGAACCCCCGCCACGTCTCCTCCCTCAGCTCCGGCTGGCTCTTGGGAGAGGGGGCAGCCCCCTTCACCTAGCCCATCCTTCCTCATCTGCCCTGTCCCCCCTCACTGAGGTGACCTAGGGTGTTGCCTTTTGCCTCAAAAGGCTGCTTTCCCTAAGGGCTGAGACAGGAAGAAAATGAAGTGAGTGAACCTACCAGTCGGGTCTCAGGGCTGCAGACTCCTTGGTTCTGGGCGGGATGGGCTTGGAAGAGGGGCTCACGGAGGCCACGGGAGGAGGGGTGGGCAGAGCCCTGAACTGGTGTCAGGTCCCTTTCTCCTTTGTGCCAAATAAAAGGCTAAACCAGAGGCCCCGGGGGGGGTCTTTCAGTGGGGGGACCCTCAGACTCAGACTGGGGGAGAAGGGGACCAAGGAGGCTGTCCCCATAGCCTGCGGGCTCAGGAGGCTGTGGCCCTAGGTCTGGGTCCCTCCTGGAGGTCCCTGCCTTCTTGAGGCCAAGTGGGGGCATCACCCTGGAGAGAGAGCCCCCATAGGCTGGGAGGGGTGATTCTTACCTCCTGTCCCAATTGGATGGAAAGACAGACCCTGACCTCAAAACAATAAAGTTCAAAGATTAAATGAAATCACAGGTTGGATTCCACTTTTTTAAAAAATACTTATTTTACTTACGTATCTAAGAGCTGAGGTGTTGGCCAGAGGTGTGGGGGGTGAGAGTCGTCACCAGAGTAGGGAGCAGAACAGGCGGATCTACTGAAATACACTGCTGAGGGGAGCAGTGGGGAGAAAGGAGAGGTCTGCTGCGCCACGTGGGTAGCTCCCTGGATAAACTCAGGCCTCAGTGGTAGGCGATAGCTTGACAGCCCGGAGACTTAACCCCTGCGCCACAGGGGAGGCCTGGATTCCACTCTTTCTCAACTTCAATATTCCCACCTGCCACTGCCCTTGGCTGCCGGCCATCACCCCTGCCCAACCCTTCTCCCTTTACCTGAAGGAAAGGTAGTGAGTGGGTTCAAGTCTTCCATGTCTTGGGGGACAACTGACCTCATCTGCTAGACTGGCCAGCGGGCAGAGATGATCCATAGCCACCTGAGGCTGGGGGTGCTTAGGCGGGACTCAGGCTGAAGAGCCCCCTGACAGGCACTGACTTCTTGCCTAGGATCCCCAGATGTGACTGCTCCCCATTGTGAGACAGTCTATACAGACATTGGCCCCAAAGCACCCACAGGCACCTCAGACCAGATTGGCTACTGACTCAGCCCCCCAAATCTCACTCAGCTGGAGGAGCTCCTAGTTACAGGGTCAAGGCTCCTCACTCCTCTCTGAGTCATAGGTAAATTGGAACTCCGCCCAGTGGGGTGACCAGGAGGCATCTAGGTGCTCCCACAGCAGATAGAGCCATGCAAACAGCACTCCCTTCCCCACAGATCTGCACACACTACCTTCCAGCAACCGCCATCCCTTCCAGGAGGGGGGGGGGTGAATTTCCCTGGAGGGCAGGCTAAGAAAATGCCACTTGAACTGGTAGACATTTTTTCTTCAAAAGGTGCCCTAAAGTGAATTCAGCTCCTTCCTGACCATCCAAGTCAGCAGTGAGGGCAGAAGGGAAAGAAACTGACACCCAGCATTGCAAAGCCACAGAACACGGACCCCTCCAGCTCACTCCCAGAGCACCTCCCCCCAAGTCATCCATATGGTGGCCTAGGACACACAAAAGGAGAAAAACCCAGGGCCCCAGGGAAAATCCTGACCTATGTGGATCTCTTCCTCCTGCATCAGAATCATCAAATCATCCCAGCTCTACCTGCCCACCCCGTGTAGACTGTGCTCAAGGGTCTCCTGGGTTATTTCGGTACTTTCAGCACTGCCCTCGGGAACCCTAGCAGCTTCTTGGAGGTTCTTGTGATCCCAAGGCCAAGCTGGCATGGGTGTTCCCATCTACACACACCCCCTAATTACAATAGCAGTTTTTGTGCCTCCCTGGTGGCGCAAGCACTATGAAGCTACCCGCAGTCACTGCAGCAGGAGTGGCCGGCCAGGGAGGTGACCCACATGGCGAAGCAGACCTCTCCTGTCTCGTCCACTGCTCCCCTCAGCAGTGTATTTCAGTGGATCGCCTGTTCTGCTCCCCACTTTGTCTCTGCTGAATCCTCTCACCCTCCACACCTCTTTCTTACACCCCAGTTCTTGTATGCATAAATAAATCTTTTTTAAAAAACAGCAGTTTTTCTTTTTTTATTTTGATCTTTTTCACACATTGGATTTGTTGGAACAGCTTTCCAGTCCGTTTTTAAAATTTTCAAAAAAAGAACCTCTGAGCCAGACAATCCCTAGAGTGCCAGCACCTGCAGATGTGCTCACCAGGAGCAGCTGTTCTGCCCTCCCACCAGGTGCGCCCCCACCTCCGGGGAACATAGGGAAGGGCGGGGTGTGGGGAGAGGGGCATGGGCCAGCAGCTCAGCCACTAAGGACTCAGCTCACACGGGGGAGCCTCCCTCTTCACCACACCCTGAAGGGCCTAGCCCCGCAGCTCAGGAGCCCTGAATGTCCATCGGGTCCCCCTGGTGCAGGATATGCTGCAGCAGCTCGTTGACCACGTCCAGAGTCTCGTCCTTCATCAGCACAATGTCATAGGAGTCCAGGTACAGCTGGCGACTCTCTTCCACCTGCCGGGAGGGGAGGAAGCCAGTCCCGAGGTGCCCTCCCACTTGTGATCACCTGGCGCGGGCCAGCATCCGTGCTGCAACTCCCCAAGAGGAGACCACAGTCACAGGGACCTGCCTTTGGAGGTACGGGTGGCAACGAGCACAGACAGCCACCATTAACCCTTGGGGCACCGTCAAAAGGACATAACAAGGACTGAAAACAGAAAGCCAGGTGTCACCTCTAAATCTACCTGTTACTGAGTTTCCACAAGGCTCAAGCATTTGTGGGAACTTCAGCACCTGCTGGCCGAGGGTGACGACAGGTAGCTTCTAGCTTCACACCAAACTGTGCCTTTACAACCATCCTAGCATACCGCCGTCGGCCTCTGTGCTGTTCCTATATGTCTCTGAATAAACCCACGCCCTGACTATGGACATCTCTCCTCTCTATAGAGCCCCATGGTGCTGCGGCTGAGGACTATGTCTCTGTGGGCAAGTGAGTCTCCCTGCCTCCGTTTCCCTGTCTGTGACATGGGTCTGAGCATTTGATGATGAACTGTGCCTGGAGCACCCGAGCACTTGGTCAGTGAGCTCCACCTCTGTGCCTGCAAGACCTCGTCTCTCCACTGGGATTTGCTTTTGTTTTCCTATGAGAACATGGAATATTCCAGACACTATGGTTTGGGTTTCCCCTCTGTACATCTCATGGTCAGTGGTGTCCAGCACACAGAAGGTGCCTGACAAGCATTGGTGAACAGGTACTGAAGAAGCAGCCAGGTATGATGGGAGGAAGCCAATGACAAGCCACCTACCTTGTCATTCAGGAAGCCAATCTTGAGAATGTTCTCCACACCAGGAATCCCATCAGCCATCGTGAGGTCCCCCATGGAGTCTCCCAGTAGGAGGACATTGGTTTTGCCCTGAAGCTGCTGGAAGTAACTGGAGTTCTCACACACGGAGGCGTTCTTGTTGTACGTATGTATGAGTTGGCCCCTGAATCCCTGCAGGAAACCCTAAATGATCAAAATGAGAAATGGCAGGGCTCAGGCAGCCATCGAGGGCTGGTTCCACTGCCTGTCACAGAGGAAAGGGAATTCTGAGAGTCACAGACTGTGCCAAACCTTGCTGGTGTCTAAACTAGGGGTGAGCAAACTAGGGCTGGGGGCCAGATTAACCTATTTTTTTTTAATTTGGTCTTTTCTTGTAAATGAAGTTTTTTGGGAACATGGTCCAACTCATTTGCTTACTTTCTGTCCATGACTGCTGGTTTGCACTGCAGAGCTGCGATAGAAACCACATATATAGCCCACAAAACCTAAATATTTACTACCTGGCCCTTGCCAGGGAGCGTGTGCAGCCCCGAATTAGGCTGACAGGCCATCACACAGTGCCAAGCACCCACTCTGGTGCAGGCCCGGAGCCAGGATGCAACCGGTGCTCAAGCTCTCAGGGGCCACCACATGCTGACCACAGGCCAAAGGGACAAACATTCTGGCCACTGATTTAAGGGGAAGTTAGAACATGGGTGAGCTGGAGCACCCACCTGTGGCTCTAGGAAAACAAGTCAAGTGCAAACCCCTGAGAACCAATGCATCTGACCCCTGAGCTAGGCCCTCGGGGCGAGAGCTGTCAAACACCAACCATGGGTCCTTCGTCAGTGACTGTCTCTAGCAGGCACAATGCACGAATGCCGTGGAGAAGCACCCCCCACCCCGTTAGGGTTCGTGTCTAGGGAGAGACTTGCTGGCTGGCGGTCCGCACCCCTCTTCCGTTCCCAGAGCAAACGAGGTTGGCTCACATCTTCATCAAAGTCCATGTAGTTGGATACGATGCGGGTGTTGGGGTGGAAGACGTTCATCTGCCGGATGATCTCCTCCAGGATGTCGCCAATGCCCGCGGAGAAGATGAAGAGGGGGATGCCATTCTGGTGGAGGGTGTTGAAGAACGTCTTGTACCCCTCCCTGAGGGGTACATGTCACAGAAACATGTGTTAAACATGTCACAGAAGCGTAAAACACCGAATGTCAGATGCATCCAGCACATGGTTAAAGCGCACCCATCTTAAGTGCGCAGATCAACTAGTATTTACCGACATGTCTGTCCCGGTGATGCCTGACCAGCGCCAGGCTCCTCACATCCCTCCCCAGTCAATGCCACCCCCCTAACGTCACATCACCATTCATCAGCTCTGCCTGTCCTTGAACGTCATACCAATAGTCTCACATTTGCTTCTGGCTAAATCTGGTTAATCTGTGTGATTTATCCAGGCTTTGCAAATGCTGAGCCGTTGGCTCTTTGTCACGACTAGCAGCGCAATTCCTCCATGTAAATACGCCATCACTCGGCTACCCGGTTTCTTATTGACAGACAAATGAGAAGGCTCCAGACTCCAGCTGTTATGGACAGGCTGCCATGAACAGCCTGTGCACACGCTGATTTCCCTGGGCCTCACAGCCAGGAGAGGACCGCAGAGCGGGAAGGTGGGCACAAGCTTTTAGTCAGGGTTTGCAACCAGGCAGCTACCCTGGGGCGGCCTCACCGAGGAGCACCCCACGCCACCCGGCATTAGGCGTGACTACTCCACTACTCTCCTGGCTCTTCGTGAGCTCTCCTCGCCCCAGTTAGGACACTCCCACCTTGACACCCGGGTCCATCCCCGCTCTAGTAAACAATGATGCAGCAGAGAGGATGTGTCCTGAAGCCACTGAGGATCAGGGCCGCAGCCAGCCAGCTCCCGTGTCTGAACAAAGAACACTGGTGACCACGGGGACCCCAAGTCTTTTTACCAATATGACCAGTGAGCTGGACTGGATGCTGTTTGGTCTGAGAGGGGCAGCCCTGGTCAGGGTCACAGGCCCCACAAACCGCTTCCTGGGAGGCAGCCACGGTCAGAAGGGCTGGATGGGAGATGAAAGGCCACAACTTCTCCCACATCTGTAATCTGTCTCCTCTTACTCTCCCAGCCACTAACACCTCGCTACTACTCTCCGGCCTCTCCCCCCGACTCCCAGCCTCTCTGTCGTGTGCAGACCAGTGTCAGACAGAAAATGTGTGCAAAGCAAGCAGCTGACCGGAGCATCGCGCTGGACTCTTGGACCACCTGGGCGATCTGGTGCTTTTGAATCTTCTGCTGACACAGGAGATTGTGCGCTTTGGTCCACCTAGAAACAGTCACCCCACAAAAGCCCAAATTCAAATCACTGAACGAGTAGTGTCCTTTTCCTTTCTAGGGCCATGCCCTGACTGGAAGCACTGGTGTGGAGGCCCCCTCCTTTCCCGCAGAGCCACGGCCTGTGGGCCTCTGGCAGCCTTCAGAGAGGCAAGAGCTGGGTGAGTGGATGCTGGAGTCAGGGCCCTTCTGAATCCCTTCCCTGTGACTCTCTGGAAAACTGGGCTCTGTCAGTGATACTGCTTTCTATGGGAAGGTGAGCTCCCCAAAGCACTTATTCCCCCAAGCCCAGGGCACTTCTAGCTCATTCCAAAGATCCTTGCAGGCTCTGTTCCAGCAGTAGCCCCAGGTGTGTTTGCAGGTTTGTTCCCACAGCTGGGCTGGCGGCCTTGGGCGGGGCCTCAGCGAGGCTGAGGGGCTGTTAGCTGACAGAGCTCAGGGAAAAGGCAGCCCCTGTGGGACGGCCTGTGTAAGGCCTGGGGACCTCACCAGGCCATGGCTCACCATTCCACCATGTGAGGCAGCTTCTCTTTGATGGTCTGGTTTGGGTCAATCTCAATCGGGTAGTAGTGGTGAAGCAGAGCGTTGAGCTGGGAAAACAGAAATGCGGAGAAAAACCATTTAGTTCACATCAAGTATCCCCCAGGAAAGGCCGAGTTTAGTGTGAGAAAAATATCACCCAGAAGACGCAACACCACGGAGGGGAGTGACTGGATCTGCAGTCACTCCTTTGCCCGCCCCAACAGTGAGGTCTAAAAATCAACAAGTTCCTGCTATCAGATGATAGGGCTACTAGGATTTTGTTGTCGCCTGTCAGCAGGACTTGAGCAGTAACTGTTTTAATGTTATGGTCCTCAAAATGTGCTGTCCTTTCTCAGGTGGTGGGCAAGATGACTTTAGGGGTGCAGGGATGAACACTGTTCCTGTTAGCAGGTTTTTTTTTTTTTTTTTTTAAGATTTATTTTGTTATTTATACAAGAACTGGAGTATAGGCCAGAGGCACGGGAGGGTGAGAAGATTCACCAGAGACAGAGCAGGGAGCAGAACAGGCAGACAGACTGAAAACACTGCTAAGGGGAGCAGCGGGCAAGACTAGGAAAGGTCTGCCGCGCCATGTGGGTCACCTCCTTGGCCGGCCAGGAATCGAACCCGCACTGCAGAGGCTGCAGACAGCTTCATAGCGCTGTGCTCAACTTGCTGCGCCACCGAGGAGGCCCTCCTGTTAGCAGTTTTTGACTGCTTTTAATATATATTAGAAAAAGCCAACTGGCCCATGAAACGCAAGTTTCATAAAGATTGTTTCTTTTATAAGTTAACTGCCTTCAGATCTTTTAGTATCAGGTTGATTAGAGGAAAACATTTAGTGAAATGTTTAGTGAATTGTCACAGACATGGCAAAAATCATGGACACAAAAGCCAGCAGTGTGGGACACAGTGTTCCTGGGTGAGCCCCTGACACGGCAGCACCAGCTGCACAACTTCACATGCATCTCTATGGCCGCAGGCCCCTTCCTAGGCCAGGACCTCGGACACTCCCGGGAGGGATCATGTGTCAGTCAGTAAATGTGTCTAGTAAAAATGGAACATGACTGGGGGCCTTCCTGGCGGCCTAGGGGTTAAGTCTCAGCACTATCACTGCACGACGGCCTGAGTTTGATCCCCAGCCAGGGAGCAACACACATGGCGCGGCAGACCTCTCCTGTCTCGCCCACTGCTCCCCTCAGCAGTGTACTTCAGAGATGCGCCTGTTCTGCTCCCCACTCTGTCTCTGGTGAGTCCTCTCACCCCCCACACTTCTGGCCTGGAACCCAGTTCTTGTATGCATAAATAAATAAATCTTTGAAAAAAAAAAAAGGAATGTGAATGCTAGTATATGCACAGTCTCAGAGTATTATGAGAGCAAATGGAGTTCCAGACCATTGGTTCAAAAGGGGGTTAAAAGAAAAGATCACATTCTGGCAAAGGCAGAAAGCTCCTGAGATGTAAATATTTTCAAAGTGGTATTTGTTTTCAGTGTGAGTATTTTTTTAAAAGTACAATAGAGTCAACAGAAGAATATTTTTAAAGAGAAACAAGTAGGGCCTCCCCTGGTGACGCAGCGGTTGAGCGCTGGGCTGTGAAGCTGCCTGCAGTCTCTGCAGCACCAGTTCGATCCCCAGCCCCCGGAGAGGGTCCCACATGACGGGACAGACCTCTCCTCAGCAGTGTATTTCGTCAGTCTGCCTGTTCTGTTCCCCGCTCTGGCTCTGGTGAATTCTCTTACCCTCCCATGTTTCTGACTGTACCCAGTGCTTGTATAAATAAATAAAGAAATCTTTAAAAAAAAAAAGAGAGAGAGAAAAGTAAATTTCATATGTAAACCTTGCTTTATTTTTTCAGGAACCATCAATACCAAGAGTCTTAGCTTTGTGTAGCCTCTTATCTTAGAGAGGGCATCTACTTCGTTACTTACAGACACAGCTTCCTGGAAGTTGACAAGATCACGGATGTGAGGAACCAAAAAGAGCACCTTGCCAGAGGCAGGCAGTGGTGGTGCCAGAACTTACCGTCAGCTGAAGGTGGCATCTGTGGGGAGACAGGCTTCAGCCCTATGAGCTCTCTAACTCACTGCCCATCTTAATAACAAGTACCATGACAGTGCCTTGGAAGAGCTGACCAATATGACAACCCACCAGACCACTTAGTGTGCAATCCAGTGACATTCCTTACAAAGGGGACCTAATGATATGGCTATTCAGTAGGAAAAGTCCAGCTTCTGCTCTGGCCAAGAGGACACTGGGGAAATGTGGAGCAAATTAAAATGAACTCCATGGAATGCCTTACAATATCTGCATGTATCCCAAATGAACAGGAGTTATGGTCACAGACATTAATCTGGAAGTCATTCTTAAAACCTGTTGCCTTACCAAGAAAATCATATTGTTAAGGAAAGAGCACAATGTAGTGAAGAGTTTGAGATCAAATCAGATCTACGGGAAAACCACGCTCTGTGCCTTGCTGTATGACCTTGAGTAAGCTGCTCAGCTTCTCTGAGTCTCTATTTTATTCATCTGTTAAATGGAGACAATAATGGTTCTACCCAACTCTTGGAATTGCAGGAAGTTAAAATGACATATATGTTGATGTCTCATATTCACATCACAGGCCTTGGCCACTAAGGAAAAGCTGTCCCAGTTTGGTAAGACCAGAGTCACATAAGCAGAACTTTTTTTTTTTTTTTTTTTTTTAATCAATCAATCATCTAAGGTCTCTATCCTGGAAACTTTGGTCCTAACCCAGAACCATTTGAAGTAGTATCTTCTAGCCCATCCTGAGCATGGCAGGGAGACACCCACCTCCTTCCGGCACTCCTCACTGATGATCTTGCTGTTATCCAGAATATCTGGGGAAACACAAAATGCCCTTAACTTGGCCCCTTAGAAGCCATCCTCTCGCCCAGTCTAACAAACCAAGCCAGTATATGACTTACTGTAAGAAGTAGGGCAACGCTTCCCATTATATGCAAACCTGCTCAAGGTCATGTCAAAATCAGAAATGACCTAAAATGCAAAAGAGAGATGATGCCTACCTAGCTGGCTTCTGCAGCGGGGTGCTGCCTCAGCGTAGGGAGTTGGGGGGGTGCGGGCAGAGAGATAAGGAAGAGCTAATCCTAGCAGGTACAGGCACTAATCCAAAGGCGCCAGGCCTCCTGGAGTTGGAGTCACTGGGGACTGAAGAATCAAAGTCCATTAGACTCTGTCAGTAGCATCCATTCAATGCCCTGACTTTCTCCTCAAGTGCCTCCGCCCGGTTTATGGCCCCTCTCCACATGCGCACCTCGGGGAGCCGGCTGACCTCTGCCAGCGTGGAGACTAAAGCCCCGGTCCTGGTGTGGGGTGCTGCTTCTGTCTAATTTGAGGAGGCGGCTTGGTCTTTTTGGAATGTAGACTGCTAGATTTTAGGGCAGGTGAGGTCTCCCCCAAGACAAAACAGGCAAGCCCGCAGGTTCACTGGCCATTTCGGGGGGCTGGGGGGCTGGGGGCTGAGCGCATGCCGGCGTCCGCGGCGACGAGGGAAGGCCGCGCAGGCAGAACCCGCCCGCGCCCGCCCGCCCGCGCCCGCGGTACCTGCAAGCGGTCGCCCCCGCCCCGGCGGAGGGCGCCCACGATCTCCTGCACCCGGCGGGGCTGCCGCATCAGGACCGTGGCCTTCATCAAGGAGCTCACCTGTCCCGAGACCCGAGAGAAGCGCTGACTCCGGCACCGACCGGGTCCGAGGGGGCCCCGGGGCTCGCTGGGGAGCCCAGCGAGCCCGGGCAGGGGGGCGCGAGGGGCGGTGCGGAGGGCCCGGCCGGCCCGGGGGCCGCTACCGGCCGGGGTGCCGCGGTGGGGCCCGCTCTGCCCGCCGGGGGCCTCGGAGCGGCCCGGGGTTCGCCCGCCCCGCGCCGCTCGCTCCCTCCGGCCTCACCTCCTCCGCCATGGCGCTCGCGGCCCGGTCGCCCGCGCCGAGCCAGGGCCGCCCCGCGGCCGCACTGCGCAGGCGTCGCCCCTCGCCGGGTGGGGGCGGCGGCCGAGCACCCGGAACCCGCACCCCGCGGGGCGCGCGGCGGGAGGCGGCCCTCCCCGGGGCTCGCCGCGCGCTCGGTGGGGACCCTGGTTGCGAGGCCCGTTTTGAGGAGGGCGAGTGTCCCCAGGAGTTGGGGTTCAGCGGGTGCCACTCTTTAGAGAGCGAAAATCCTGGCAGGAGTGGGCATTACCAGGCTTACAGTTTGCATGGCCAAAAAAGCCTCAGGCTGACAGGGGGCTAGAAGCCATAAAGTGGACTCCCTGAAACATTTCTGGAAGCTGCTTCCTTAACTGGGCTCACTCCTCATCACAAAGCAGTGACCTGAGCTTGACCCAGGGACAGGAAGGCCCTGGAATGTGGGTCAGAATGACCTTCAGTGGGCTTGACTTCTCCCTTCTGCCTCCTCTGCCTGGGTTTCCTTACGCAGGGCCTGGGCAGCCAGTGCTCAGCAGGGAAGGAAGGTAGATGGATGCTACAGGGACAGACCCTGGCCAGGGAGTGGGCAACAGGAGCTGGAATGAGTAACAGCCCTGACACGGGTGTTGGTGGTCACTGAGCTGCTGCAGGTGCAGGGCCATGGAAGGAAGTGTGGGGTGGTCTTCAGCCTGAGTGGTGCTGGGGGGAGGGGAGAAGGAAGGAGGACAGGCACTGGAGAGAGTTCCAGAACCTGAGAGCACAATCCTGAGAGTGATCTCACTGCGTGCCCAGGATTCTGGAACTTGGGCTGCCTGATGGGCCCTATATGAAAGATGTAGTAGGGAAAAGGAGCGACAGCTGGCTAAAGGGCCCCCTCACAACCCTCCCCAACACCCTAGGAGAGCAGCCTCTCTCCGCTGGTCCCAGGGTGCCATGGAGATGGAGAGCACGGCGGCCTCCGCACGTTTCCACCAGCCTCACATGGAGAGGAAGATGAGTGCGATGACCTGTGAGATCTTCAACGAGCTTAGGCTAGAGGGCAAGCTCTGCGACGTGGTCATCAAGGTCAATGGCTTTGAGTTCAATGCCCACAAGAACATCCTCTGTAGCTGCAGTTCCTACTTTAGGTATAAGGGTTGCCGGACTAAGCCAAAGGGGGAATTGGGCTCATTTGGAGACATGTTGGTTCCTTTGGTTTAGGGGCATTGTCCAAGCACTGGCACTGGCCGGGCTCCTTTGGCGTCTCAAGAGGCACAACCAGGGCCAGAGCCTCGTCTAGTTTTCAGCCGGATTTGAAAACCAACCGTTGGTGGGCCAGGGGCTTTTCTCTTCACCCAAGCCAGCCTCTGGGGAGGTTGGTCACCCTTACCGGAGTTCTACACAACCTTAGGTGACAGGTGCCACTTTGGTCACTGCTTCCCCCCCTATCCCAGTAGAGACTGTTACCAGCAGGGTGATAAGTTAACAAGGATTGAGGGCATTGGAAGTGCCCTCATACAAATTTGTATGAGAAGAAAAGGGGGATTTGGGGCCAAAATCACTGTAACCCAAGAAATGGAAGAGCTGTTTTTGCTCATGCGTTGAAAATGTTTGTGTAATCGATGCCAATGAAGATGTGATATGTGCATCCCACCGGTTGCTAAAAACTCTCATTCTTCTAGACTTAGAGCAAGGTCTCCAGAAAAACCAAGTAGTACATATTGACAGCTTTGCAGACCATACAGTGTCACGCCACTCTGCTTTTATAGTGGGAAAGCAGTCGTAGACGATACTAAATGAATAGGTATGGCTGTGTTCCAATAAAGTAATACATATAGACACTGAAATTTGAATTTATTACAATTTCAGGTGCCACAAAATATTCTTTTGACCGCCCCCCCCACCACCAAGCATTTGACAGTATAAAAGACAGTCTCAGCTGGTGAGTGGTACAAAAGCAAGCGATGGGCTGAGAGGCTGTAAGTTTGCAGACCCCTGCGCTAGAGAATAATTTGATCTCTGAGCCCATGTTCCCTTAAAACCTCCTAGAAAAAGGAAAAATGTATTAGGGCAGGGACTTCTTGTTTAATACCTTAGGAGAGTACCCAGCAGAAGCCCAATAATTAGCTATGGAATAGTGTCACTTAGTATCGCCTGTTTTGTGGTAGGCACTCTTCTGGGTACTGGAAATAATAAAGAGACAAACATTTCTGTTCTCATTAAGTTTACCTTCCCCTGGGACAAATAGGCATTAAATAAAATACACATCGAATCATCCTAAGCACTAGGGAAGAAAAGGAGAGGCTAGAGAGCGGTGAGTGGCAATTTTAAACAGGATTATCAAGGAAGGCCTTGATGACAGTGGCATTTGAAGTTGAGAAGTGAGAATATGGAGATGTCGAGATTTCTAGGCAGAGGGAATAACAAGTGCAAAGGGCCAAAGGTAGAGGCACCTCTGGTGTATTCAAGGAAAGCTTGGAGGCCAGCGGGGCCAGGCAGAATGAGGGGGTAGCAAGAGGAAATGTGGCCAGAGAGCTATTACTGGTTTGAGAGGGCTGATCTCAGAGGGATTGTAGTCTCTGGAACGTTATTTTACTCTAACAAGGGAAGTCAGTAGGTGGTTTTGAGTGGAAGTGAACCATAAATCCTTAAGAATCACTCTTGTGAGGCCTCCCTGGTGGCGCAAGGGGTTAAGACGCAACCTATGAAGCTGTCCGCAGCCTCTGCAGCATGAGTTCGATCCCTGGCCAGGGAGCTACCCTACCATAGCACAGCAGACCTCTCCTGGCTTGCCCGCTGCTCCCCTCAGCAGTGTATTTCAGTGTATCCGCCTGTTCTGTTCCCCACTCTGTCTCTGGTGAATCCTCTCACCCTCCACACCTCTGGCCTGTACCCCAGTTCTTGTATGCATAAATAAATCTTTAAAAAAAAAATCACTCTTATGGCTGGAATAAGACAAACTCCAGGAGTGTTGAAGACAGAAGGGAGAGATCAGTTAGAAGATTATTCCTAATATTCTAGGAAAAAGATGGTGGGGCTTGGACCAAGGAGGTAGCAAAAAATGAGAAGTGATTATATCCTGGGTATGTGCTGAACAACACGATTTAAGATGTTGAATTTCTGTAGCAAGGTAGAATTTGGTGGGCAGTGGGTCACTCCCAGATCTAGATCCCAATTTCTCTACAAAATGTGCAAAAGACCCAGTTACCCTGAGGATAACCTAAGGGTCCCCAATGTCATAGCTCTCAGGAAAGTTCTCTTGCCCTCTGTATAAAGCTGTCTGCTGCCCCCTCCCCTACACCAATTTATTTCCAACATATTCACTGTGTGCCATTCGGAAAATGTCCAAACTCTCAACACAGAAAGGTGGGGGAGAACAGGGCAAACCGGAGGGAAATGTTTCAGTGACAGCTAGTTTCTTTTTTTTTCCAGAGCTTTGTTTACAAGTGGCTGGAACAACACTGAAAAGAAAGTATACAACATTCCTGGCATTTCCCCCGACATGATGAAATTAATTATCGAGTACGCATACACCCGGACAGTCCCCATCACGCCGGACAACGTGGAGAAGCTGCTGGCTGCTGCAGACCAATTTAACATCATGGGTATTGTCAGGGGTTGCTGCGAGTTCCTCAAGTCGGAGCTGTGTTTGGATAATTGCATTGGCATCTGCAAGTTCACAGACTACTACTACTGCCCTGAGCTGAGGCAGAAGGCCTACATGTTCATCCTGCATAACTTCGAGGAGATGGTGAAAGTCTCAGCAGAGTTTTTAGAGCTCTCAGTCACTGAACTTAAGGATATCATTGAGAAAGATGAGCTCAACGTCAAACAAGAAGATGCTGTATTTGAGGCCATTTTAAAATGGATTTCTCATGATCCCCAAAATAGGAAACAGCATATTTCAGTTTTGCTTCCGAAGGTCAAGTTTAGTTATTTTTTGGTGGATGCTTAATTGCCACTGTTGAGACATCCCAGAGGGATTGTCCTAAGAGCCAGATTCAGACGTCTGGCAGAGTCCAGGGCTGTATTGATATAATTTCACCATTTCGTACTACTTCCTACTGTGGCACTACTTTTTTTCCCTTGGGCTTTACTAGTTCCCCTGCCCCAGTTATGGTCTTTGACCAAAATTCTCCCTGGTAGCAGGGGAAGGAGGGGGAAAGGCCTTCCTTTCTTTATCCCTTTCCATTCTGAGTTTCCCCAAACCCAAGGTAGAAGTTGGACTAGAAATCAAACCCTGTGTATTACACACAATTGTAGCCATTTGATGCTAATTTGTGTTATTTTTAAAAAAGATTTATTTATTTATGCATACAAGAACAGGCCGGAGGTGTGTGTGTGGGGGTGTGTGTGTGTGTGAGAGGATTCACCAGAGACAGAGTGGGGAAAAGAACAGGTGGATCTACTGAAATTCACTGGTGAGGGGAGCAGTGGGCGAGGCAGGAGAGGTCTGCTGCGCCATGTGGGTCAGCTCCCTGGCTGGGGATCGAACTTGAGCTGCAGTAGCTGACGATTGCTTCATAGTGCTGACACTTAACCCCTGGAGCCACCAGGGAGGCCCCTAATGTGTGTTATTTTACATTTACAGACACAGCTGTTCAATTACTGAATAATCACCACTGCTTTTTCTGGCCTAAGTTCTGTGATCATTTGTGGTGCCTTCTATCTAGCTCATTCTCAGCATCCAAATGTTGACCACCTCTCAAAATCAAATTATTTCAACTGAGTTGTAAATTTCAAAAACAGAACTTGACAGTACCACGCCTCAAAGGCACACTGTAAAAACGGGGGTTGAGTACGGGTTTCCCAGGCAAATTCACCTCATCTAAATGACTTTCTGTGTTCCCTTCTTAGGTTCGCCTGGCCCTAATGCACGCTGAGTACTTCATGAACAACGTTAAGATGAATGACTACGTCAAAGACAGCGAGGAATGCAAGCCAGTCATCATCAATGCCCTAAAGGCCATGTATGACCTGAACATGAATGGACCCTCTAATTCTGACTTCACCAACCCACTCACTAGGCCCCGCCTGCCCTATGCCA